CGCAAACATTATATTCAGCGCCATTTTGTAAACAGCTTACGTAGTAGAAATGCTTAGACCAGTCAAAAGTTAATGCCAACTTTATCTTACACCCGTACCACTGCAAATAAAACACCAACTAATTGAAATTGCTTTCAATATAATAAAGCGAATTCGTTAGAGGAGGATATCAACGTATAACAATTTTTTGGTGTTCTCTTTCTTTAAAATTAAATTTGTAACAAATTATAATAATAAAAAAAATTATTTTTTATTTTCCATTTCTAAAATAAGATTGGAGAATACATGTAACCTCTTTTGCAGTGCAAAATAGTGTTTAATGGTATAACTACCCTTTTGTTCTGTAATTGAATAGGAGTGGCAATTTAAAAGAGATTTTTAATGCAAATTTATTTTATGTTACAACAAAACTAGGGACGAATTTTAAATATGAGTTATAGAAGAATTATAAAATTTAACATCAATTTTTTTAAAAACTTGATTTTTTGACTTGTACCTCCCTTCCTGCGTACGCGCTAACTATAAATTTAGTATAAAGAAAACAAAATTTTCAACTCTGAAATTTCTGGAAATTTGATTTTACTACAAAAACAGTTTAAGAGGTGACTTAATACAGATGAGCACGAGTCCCAGAATAATTACTGGCAATGACGAACCCACAATTAGCAAATATAATGAAATTATGAAAATTTATAAAACAAAAATAGAAGCTCTTTAACATTATTAAATATAGAAGATAAGATCAAGAAATATTCATAATACCCTAAAGTATATACAGAAAAACATACACGTACATTTGAACGAAGAACAATAGCCATAATAAAAATTAATAAAGCAAGATAAACCAACCGTAAATATATTATAACAAAATATTTCGAAGGAAAGCATTTTAATTTTTTTGGTAGTGGCTATTTTAATCGATATCTTATACAAATATAGCAATTCTAATTCAACTTGTCCTAAATAGAGCCAAATTTAACATGTTTATACAAATATATACGAAACTCATTTTAAGGTTTTGGAAAGGTATAAATATGGTCTCAGCCCAGAGATTAAGGTGTAGCAGCTCGAGGGGCTCCTGCGGGCTGTCTATACCTGCTGGTGGTTCCTAGCGATTTCCTACCGTACTAGACCAAATGGTGTGGGAGTTCGAGCTAGATATCTACCGCACTTCCTGTTTTTTGGGAGGGAGTTACTATTAGTTCTATAACGAGCGTACACTGGTAAGTGCTCCTGCCACAGCCCGTACAGGAGAGTGGATTTGAGTTTAAACGACTTAGGGTCTCCTGCAAAGAATGTTCGTAGTATTTCCAATGGCTAATAAAAAAAAATATTAAAGTCCTTTTCTTCAAACTTTAAGTATCTCTTTAATATATAAAGAGCTTTTGAAATTCACGTTAGTAATAAGCGGTAGGGTGATACGTATCAAGGGTGCAGAAAATTTTCCTTGTTCAAAAACCGTAATGACACATTCCCTCAGAAGCCTTATTGACAAACAAGTGGAGGCCGACCTGTTGTCCAAAAGAAATGGAATTGTGTTTTTTTCAACAATAAGGAAAAATTTTAAATATAGCGAATTATTTTATATAGAAATTGTTCTTGTCAGGTAATATTGTTGCAAGTAATAAAATTACTAAGTAAGCAAACTAATAGGCCTGTAATTACCTGCAGCTTGTGAGGGTGTGGATATTTTAAAAACCGGTACAATTGTAGCAAACTTCAAGAGTCAGAAAATACTTTAAACCCCACGTGATCAAAACAGCAAAAATTTGTTAATTCATTTATTTTAATTGATTTAAGTAAACAATAAATAATTTAATCTTCAGAAAGAAGGTATTTAAGGTTATTAACAATAAACTGGTTACAGGAATCGAATACACAAGTATATTAACAGAAATTTTACTTGTAGTTTAAATACCTAAGAGGTTAACAGAATTATTCGCAATGAAAGATTTTGCATTAGAAGACCAGAAAAACAAGCAACGATAAAAAAAATTTATGATAAAATATATTTTTTTATTTTTATTTGGCTTCTGCTTACTTAATAAGAGGGTATAACCAATTTGCTAACTAGAGTTCTACATTGATTGAAAGTCTCAAGATACTATAATAAGAAATTTTTAATCTATAGCACCACGAATTGTTTAAGTTATGATGTGTCAAATAATCATTAAGTAGTAATATTGGTAATTATAGGGTTTATAAAATATATTATCTAGTTTTAATGGTAATTTAAGAGAGATATAGCTTGTGGCGGTGTAATTATTGATCAGTTACTAAATACTAAATAGTATATCTTACACAAACTTAAGTCGAAATGTTCAGTTTGGTGGTAAGTTCATTACTTCTTTTAGTCATCTTTGGTAAGTAAAGCACATTTACTACTCTAAGAGCAAATAAAGTCAACTTTATAGAGGATATTGACGCCATTTAAGCAAAATATATCTCCATTATTTGGGTAGTAAGAGAAAAAATTTATTCTATGGAACAGTTGTTAAAAATTTGGTTTACTGCTTAGTAGAGGATAGTCGAGAGAGAGATAAAACAATAGTCAATGAGTTGTGTGAGGGCTCTAAGCCCTATTTTCCTTTAGTTTCACAATGATGGGGAGTTCAACTTTATTTTTTAATGACAACATATTAAAAAGAGAAATACCTTGTCCAACCCATTTCTTACGCAACCTATGGTCTTCTGCATACAATAAAATTACATATTTAAAATGAAAATATATGCATCCTGCATTTAATCAAGAACACGTCATTACAACCATAGCAGAAAATATAGAAACTGATTTGGACGAATACTGGGAAAACTATTTACATAGTAATTTAACTCGTGTATGTTTGACAGTTATAAAAATCGTTTAAAAAACTCTCCTTGAGCAAAAAAAGAAGGGTTTATAAAATCAAAAGCTTCATTAAAAGAGATTAAGTAAATTTAATTGTTTTTTTTGTTATATACTCCAGTACTAATGGATTACTTATAGGAATGGAAATAATTCCACTGTTTAATCTAAAATGACCCCCTGGTATTTATTTGGCTTGGGGAATCAGGATATTACCTTGTTATCGAAGGTGAGCGGCAATAACGGTGCTAATGCCCTTCTTCCTATGAACAGGCTTTGCTCTTTTCCGCAATTATAGTACTTTTTTAATGTCGACACTAGTTGGCAAGCATCACTAGGTAGATTTGCGGATTTTGGAGCGATAAGGCAGGCGGCTTTGATGTAGTAAATCGCCATCTTATCTGCATATAAGACATTCCGCAACTGGGTGTCGTCAAGGCTGTGACAAGTTTGCGCGCATAAAGTGCAAAGAATAGGGGTTATAGAGGCGATTCTTGTGGGGCTTTGGCTATAGGTGTTCATAGGGATGAGCTCGCAACGCCAAACGATATATCGAAAACGCAGTCCTTAGGGGTAAGAGTTGATCACCTTATAAAGTACAATAAGGGAGGGTATGGCGTGCTATATGTTAAGCTAGTCCCCTTGTGTCAAACTCGGAGAAACGCTCTTTCAACCTCAAGAAAGAAGGCTCTTGTTACTTTAATTGATACTTTAATAAATGATTTTCCTCTTCCTAAGAGTGGACGTCCACACTTAGGCGAGGTGGGAAAATCTAACAAGACTGAAGTGGGGGCATTCATTGCTTTTTGATAGCATTATCAGCTTTGCAAGGGGTTGAGACAGTTATAATTACCCTCAACTTTACTAAACCGGGGCCCCTTCTCTGAGCTTGCAATTTATTAAACCTCATAGCAAACCGCTCACGATGCAAATGAATTGAGGCTACGCTAAAAAACGCAGAGCACGTGCCCAGTAAGCCAGCTAAGTCAGGCATAATGGACGGGCTTAAGATCGCCGTAATCAATAACAATATATGCACCTTCTAAGGGCCATTGTGACGCTGAAGGAACTATTATCCAATCATTTTCTTGACCTGCTCTAATTGGTTGATGAACCGGGAGCATTAAGGACGATTTGGAGCAAATTTACTCAATGCTCGGAAAGGAGCCCCTGGCGTTCCGACATTATAAAAAATATCCTCTTTACTAAAAAACGCCTTTCCTCAACGCAACGACGACACGTGCAGTTGCGTGCCGCCCTAACCAAAGGCTCTAATATGCGACCGTCGGCGCCTCATCAGAGTGGTCATGGCCTTTCAACATGTTAAAGACAAACTGATTTCAACCTTCTTACCGAGATAATAAATTGAACGAAGTGTCGGACACTAGTGTAAGAAATAGCATGCGCACACCACGGCTAATGGCTAACGCCTCTAAAGCCAATATTTCTCTCGAGCAATACAGGTAATGCCTATTACTTTCTCCTACAAATATAACATAACCATATATTTGAGGCTACCGAGGTGGTAGGCAAACGGCTTTTCTGAGTCGATTATATAACAACTGTCAGAATGCTAAAAATCATATCCTGCTGCCTCCTCAATCCGATGGACTTCGTCTTTTTCTAGTGCGGTGGAAAATGAAAATGGTTATAGTTGTGATATTTTTAATAACTTTAGCGGTCATACTAAATCTTTTCAAAACTTTTGTTTTCAAAATTAACTGCTGCGCCTAAACGCGTCATAGTTGTCGGAATGGTAAACTTCACTGCAAACTACAGATTGAGTAGCTAACCACAATCTTCAAAGTAATGCTGTCTACCTCTAGGGACCCATAGCTCGTCTTTTAGCGAAAGAACTTACTAGCAAACCATGGGACGACTTGAAGTTTGCTTTCTGCTTGAAATTTAACTTTAAGGAGACATTTAAGATAATTTTATTTGTACTTCTGGGCGTCTGATTAAAAGCTCGACTGTTCTAATGTTGTTAACTCGATCGAGCACCAGGAAATACCCTTTAATAATAAATAATCTCGTGACCTAGCATGTTCCTTACAGGCTTTATGGGGTCTTCATTTAGTTAGAACCGTATTTTTAGCTGTTATGGTAGAGGAATCTGTTTTACTAGAAAAAGATTCGGAAAATTTTTTTTCTGAATTAATAAGCGTTGGTGAAGAATGTATCTTTCCTTCAGAGCTTCGTTCTTTGTTGCGAGATAAACCTGCGTTAATTTTTTACGATGGTTTTGAGCCTTCAGGTAATTTTTATTTTTATTTAAATTTTTGTAATACGTATATTCTTTTTTTACCCAAAAGGGAGAATGCACATAGCGCAAGGTCTGTTTAAAGCTATAAATGTTAATAAATGCATTAAGATGGGAAGAGGTTGCTTTCACGTTGTACTTTCTTAGTTTACTTGTTAATTAACAGTTGATCAATAGGCACTTTTATCTTCTGGGTGGCGGATTGGTTTGCCTTAATGAACGATAAATTAAATGGCGACATAAATAAGATAGAATTAGTTGGAGAATATTTTATTAATGTTAGTTTCAAACTATACTGAAGGTATTATCAGAATAATTTAAGTGTTACATGCTTATAGGTTTGGAAAGCAGCCGGTATGGACATGTCTAATGTCAAGTTTTTAAGGTCTTCCTCTGAAATTTGCTTGAACGCTGAACGTTACTGGGTATTATTTTTAAAAAACTTTATAAATTACAATTTACTTTGTAAATAGTTGCAGGTTTTGGACGTTGCTCGCTGTTTTAATATTAACAGAGTTCAGAAGTGTTGCCAGATTATGGGCCGTAAAGAAGGCGTGTATAATTTTCATATATGTATTATAATTTTTTTAAAATCTTTTTTATGTTAAAGGAAATCTGTCGGCAGCGCAAATTCTTTATCCCCTTATGCAATGCGCGGATATATTTTTCTTGAGGGCTGACGTGTGCCAGCTCGGTGTCGACCAGAGGTCTCTCCTGTAGTAATTGAACATAATTTTTTCTTAGAAGTTATACCTTTAGAAAAGTCAATATGCTAGCACGAGAATATTGTGATCACTTAAAAAAAAAGCACAAGCCTGTTATTCTCTCTCATCATATGCTTTGCGGTCTTAAAGAAGGGAAAACTTAGTTTTTTATATACCTTTTTTTTTTAGTTTTTTTTCAATAATTACAGTGCTGACATATATATTCATTGAACAATAGGGCAAGCAAAGATGTCCAAGTCTGATCCAGAATCTTCGATATTTATGGATGACAGCGAAGACGATGTCGCACGGAAGATCCGCCACGCTTATTTTCCCTCTCCCGTGGAACTGTATCGTCGAGGTAGGGCTCGCTTGTTCGTCTCTGGCCTCTTCTTATTTACTGTGCGTTAAAAGGATCTTCGAAGCAACCGCCTGATCTGGACTCTTCAAACCCGTGTCTGGACTACCTTCAGTATATCATCTTTTCCCAGCCAAATGCTACCTTTACTGTTTTTTTTCAAGACTCGCCTGTTGTCTTCGAAAGCTTTGAGGCAGTGGTTAGCTTAAATTGCTTAGCCAGACATTCTTGCTTCTTTTTTTGCTCAGCGAGAGAAAATTTTAACTGGAGTTATTACGGAGGAAGTACTGAAAACCTCTCTAACGCACGCCATAAACGCCTTGTTGCAACCAGTGAGGGACTACTTCCGGAAAAACGACCGTGCACGCTTCCTTTTAGAGAGCGTCAAGCAGTTTTGTGAGAAAAAGGTTTCTAGTTTACCATATTTTACTTGGACCACCCTCGCGTGTTTGCTCATCCGTCCTCCTTGTTCGCAGCCAACTGCACCTAGCAGTCCTATCATGGACATTAAGCTCACTTGCTTAGTTAAGGCCACTGATACACTCATTGCTTTGGTCGTGGCGCCTTTCGCCCAATCAGATGTTACTTTGGCGGATTGTGTCTCGCTGATTCGCTTGCTTTTTGAAGCGACAACCAATTATCGTGTTGTTTTGTTAATGCCGGATTGGGGTAGGGCTAGTCATTTTTGTCTTTTCAGCATCTCGTTTACTTTTCATTATGTTTTTTAGGCTCTTTTTCTTTAAATGCTTTAAATGGCGATATAAAAGCGATTCGGGCTTATTATAAAATTTTTACTCGAGGTATTCTCTATAATTATACTTTGTTTCTCATCTATAAATACGCTTATGACCAGCCGTTAGTACCCTTTGCCCAAACGTTCTTTCTCGTGTGGAAGTAATACTGCAAAGCGCACTAATTCTTTCTAGCGCGGGCGATTACTGGACTACTGCGATCCATATTGGCAGAAAAGTGCCCCTCCAACGCCTCGTCGCTGTGAATGGTGAGCGATTTCATTTCGCAAAACTGGCGGTGTTTAGGCCGTCTGAGCTCTTCTCTTTGTTGCTTGTAGGAGAAGAGAACATGTGTGCGGGCTTCGTCGTGAGTGCTCTGCTTTTCGTTTGCGATGTCTTCCAATGCCGTGCGTCAGCGATATTTTGTTATTCTGCGCTCTTGGAACGTCTTGGTTTACCTCTCGTTTTTAGTGATGTTTTTCTTCTCAAATGCATATATATATATATATATATAGCAACGTTGGCTACCTCTTTTGCTGAAGTTCATTTAAAAGGCGTTTTGGTACTTCATATATATGTTTAAGCGCAATGTTCTTTCGTGTACTCCTTATCAAGTCCTCGGCATAGAAGACATTCCATTATTATCACAATACTCTTAATGTCTATAAACATACCACTCCTCTTCCGCTGACATTGCTAAGCTATAAGCATGGACTACCTCTTTTTATATAGCTGCCTCCCAAAGTTGTCCATATTCCCAAAACTGAGTTGCCTTTAAGGCATTTGCTTGAGGACTCCCCATCTAACTCTGACAATCGTATTTCTCTATTCGGTAAATTTTGCGCCACGCGCACCTTTACAATCATTTGTGAATAACACATGTTTGTTAGATTCCGCCACTGATGTCCACCGGAAGCTGAAGAGGTCCTTTTGCGAGCCTGGAAATATTAGCTTTTGCCCGCCCCTTCTGCTTCTGGAGCACGTCGTCTTGTTCTTAGAAAAACGTTTTTGTGTACAGCGCACACTGGAAAACGGTGGCGATGTCCTTTATACTAGCGCTCAACAAGCCTGGCAAGATTATGAGGAATATGTATAGTCATATTTCTATTTTTTACTACAATCATCTGTAATACTTACTTGTAGGCTTTGCATCCCGGTGACTTGAAGCCTTCTATAATTACTTCTGTGAATTCCATTTTAGAACCCTTTCGGGCTCTAATAAAAGAGAATGAGTTTAAAAAATTAGTGTTATGTTACAAAAATTGTATTAAGAAGATTGCCACTCATTAATTTTGGTTCTTTTTCTGGAAAGAGGATAAAAATTTAAAAAGCTTGAAACAATTTCACAATAAACATTTGAAAGAAAGTACTTAGACCTTTCCCTAAGCACCTTTAGTTTTTAAATAAAGGGATTCATACTCATTTTATTAAACATTACTCCTACGGGGTAGTGGATTCTACTCGAGGTTAAAATGTTTTTATTATTACATAAAAGTCTAAGGGTCACAGTTAACTTAGCCTTCCTGATCTTCACATATCTGTTTCTGTTTAGCATAATGGTTGCAGAATTACTTATTAAAAAAAATCTTTTCAGGAAGTAACTTAGAAAGCATAGTAGCTTGCTTTGCGGATGCAAAATATATGAATTTTAATACTTCGATTTTAAAATATTATTAGTCATAAGGATTGCTACTTGTTCTATATTAAATTTGTTATAGCATTTTATAATGTGGAGTTTCAAAGAAAGAAGAGTTACAGAAAAGATTCTCGTTTATCTTAAAAGGGCTGTTTTGAACACGATGTTTACTTAGCAAGTAAAAGGTAGAAAGAATTTTTTATTAATTACGGAAAAGTTACTCTATAATTATATTTGATAAAAGAATAATATTATAACTGACGATATAAAAATTAAAATTAGTTAAGTAAAAAGTAAATATAAAGAACATAAAGAAAACAAAAATTTAAGCTATCTCGGTAAGAACAGTAAAATTAAAAAAAAATAAAAACCAAGGAATAAGGTTAGGATTTTGCACGGGTTCCTTAAGTATTTTTAAAAACTGCAAGAAAAATTAGTACCAGTTATTGAGATAAGTAGAGGGTATAGAAGGGCTTAAGTTGTAAAATATATATCGGGAAGTAGGGATACTATAATAACTTTAAAAACTGTACAAAAACAAAGTGAGAAGATTGCATTAAATATAAACCCATAGATGTAATCCACACCTTATTTTTCTTAATTGTGTTAATTTTACAAACTAAAAACTTTAAAAATATATAATAAGCAAGTGAGAATAATATAGAGTTAGTAATTTTAAAAGGAGCTCTAATAATTTATCGTATTGCCCTCGAGCTGTCTAGGTGGCACAGCGCCCACCACCCAGCGAACACTGACCAAAGCAACAACGAAGCGCGATGCGCTTGTCATCCTATAAATGTTTTAAAAGGGGTGCGCCCTAAGACGGTCAACCCAAATAAACGTTGGAATAGTATCCTAAAAAAAGCATTAAAAATAGTTTCGTAAAATAAAAATCAAAGTTACTTAAACTTTTATAAGGGTAAGTCTACGAACTATTACTTTTAAAATTTAGATAACTGGGCAGAAAAGGCCTTTAAGTGTATCTAAATGGCAATACATCCGATAGGTAAAGCGGTCGAGTGGAATGCTACAGGTATAAATATATACGCAGTTACTTAACGCGAGGACATTCCAACATTATGTTTAAACCTGTTTAATTGGCTCTTACAATTATGCAAACATGAAGTTTGTTTCTCTTCTTGCGATGGCAATCTTAAAAAGTAGACCACACAACATCAACATTTGCTAGAAACCATAAAAACATACCAGTTTATAATTTATCTACTTTTTATATAAAAAACTTTAATTAGAGTTTACTCTAGTAAAACAATAAAGCATTTCAGTGCTAAGTTTTTAATATTTTTATTTGTTTTTGGCTTGTTTTGGTTATAAAGTTTACTATGTCCAGCTATTACTGGCATTGGAATATGACGTACAGAGGAAATGAGAGTAAAGTTTGAAATATAATTATTATAAGGAATAATCTCAGGCAACGTAGATACACACTTTAAGCAATGCTTTTATAAACGCTCTTATATAGGAAATACTTACATGCCTCTAATTCCTTATCCGGAGTTTAAAGATTTCTTTATTGCTTTAAATAAGCAGGTCTTGTCTATTCATCTACTATAGTTACCATTATTATAAATTTATACTTTTTTTTTATTTTCATATATAAAGATTGTCTATGGCAGTCAGCCCATAGAGGGCGCTGCTTGCCTGTCTATGAATTCTCTGCCCAACTGTGTTAAAGGTTTATATTTCTTTTTAAGTAATGTAATTATGCTTTATAATAACTTATTATAAATAGTATCTAACACTGTAAATAAATGGTTTCTTAAAGTTAGAGTGTATGTCAGTTATTTTTGTTATATTTATTCCTTTCTGCTTTTCTTTTTTTGAGTCTTCTTTAAAGTTATTGAGTATGGAATCTTTAAAACTCCTTTTTTAATTGTTACGGAACCTCCTTAGTTTCATTAAGGCTAAGATGTGTATCGGTCATTTTTATTAGATTTTTCTTTTTTTTTCTTGGAGCTTTTTTTCTAACCTGTAAAACTTATATACTTCATGTAATTGTAAGTCCTTTTTTGCTTAAGATATAATTGTCGCTTGTCGCTGCTGCTTCCGCTACAGTACTGATGACGGCACTGTACACACGGTACTTCTTTTTGAAGAAGTACAAAGGAATGCTACTCCTTTTGAAGATGACGGGGTTCCAGAGGGTGATTATGAATTCCCATTCAGCTTCCGGTTGGTTTAAATTTTTTTTTTTATTTTTTCTAATATTTCTTTAGCTGTCCTGAGACGTTACCGCCTTCCACCACGATTTCGGGAGGCTGGGACGCCGTTGCTAACTGCAAAGTATGGTACGAGATTCGCTCTTACGTGATCCACTCGGAACTTATGAAATTCGACAGAAAGCATCTGCGTACTTCTATAGAATTTCGGGTCGGCTTGCTATAAATAAAATTGTATATAAACCTTAGTGGGTACCATTTTGTACAAGCATCCTGATATTGTCTATTATTTTATGGGGCTGTTTGATTTTTAACTTTTTTGTTTCAGTTATTATTTTATAATTTTTAAGTACAAATTTCTTTTCTATTTTTTATGCTAACTTCCTTTTACGTCATTGCTTTTCTTAGCGAGCAGTGTTGTACAACCCGGTGATAGCCCCTCTTGCTTTAAATTTTGTCCCTCAGCACGTGACAGCTCATCTGCAGGTGTTTTTTTTTTTAGGCATTCCTATTTGTGCTTGTTTAACTACTTGTACAGATTATAGGCTCTCTTGATTCAGACGTGTACATCTCCGGAAGTCCTATAAGGATATCGCTTTTCATTCGCCACGAGCTTCTCCGAAGCATCAATACCATTAAAATTAAGTTAGTTTTTGGGTACGTAGTTTTTATTATTTTTTACGTCATTTACAATATATACAGCATTCGTCAAAATCTCAAAGTTAAAAAAAGGTCTATGCGGCAAGTCCGCGAGTTTTGCTCGAGTCAAATTTTAGCTACGAAAGTGCTAACTGAAAACATTCCTATCAAAAGGCATCAGGAGTACCGGTTTTTTTCCATTAGCGACACTCTACTCAAACTTTAGCATTATTAAGCTCGTAACTAGAAAGGATATCATCATGAACCTGAAGCACGAGGACCGAGGAAAACTACGGGGTGTGGCTCTTTCAGGGCAGATGGACGCCGTATCACTGCTTCGCTTTGTGCCATCTGTTTTCGTTATTCTGCTTCTTACCAGTCCGGAGGACCTCAGCTTGCGTCCTCCGTGCGACTTTTCACACCAGAAGGCGTAGAAGTCAGGTGTTTTCTCTTTCACTCTTTAGACTTTTTTTTGGTCGACATGTCCCACTTCTGCTAGTTACTGCGTAGAAGTCCACTGTTGCGTGTTTTTTTCGCCGAATTATATAATCACTCTTCCGTTCAACGTTGCCGACCGCATTGCTGATGAACCCCCGCCGGACTACTGGCCTAAAACACCTCCTTACTCTTTGCCCGCCTTGCCAGGTCCCTTTATTACTTACTCATCTCGTATTATTTATGTAATCAAACCCCTCTCTTCTAGAAACTTACGATTACGACGAAGACAGTGAGACGGGCGTTCCTTCCTACGATGACGCAATAAGAAGACGCTCCTTGTACAAAATTGTGGATGGAAGCGCTTCGCAGGAAAGACTAAAATCTGTAGTTGATGCTTTCTCTTTGCAAAAATCCATGATCGCTTCTCCGTTGCCGTGGGACTCCACGTTGCCTGCCTGGCAGCGTTTAAGACTTTCGGCTTCACAGTCGTCCACTTCGCTAAGTACTAAAACCCTACAGGAACCACAAGGCGGACGTCTCCTGAGGGTTGCTACGATTTTTCTTTTTATTACTTTTTAAATTAAAATTTTTATTACTAGTCAGTGACATTACAGCCTTGCGACGGGCATATAACGGATTTTGTTAAGGGCAGTTACAATATTAAAGGCAGCGAACAACAAAGCCCCAACGCTTCCCGCACGAACTCCCCAAAACTTTAACGGGGAAGAACTTTTCTTCATAATGAAGTTTAAGAAAACTTTCTTGTTTTATATAGCTTAATTCGTTTTTAAATAAAACTTCTTTGTGGGGGGCTCACAGCTTTTCGCTAATGGAATTAAATCTTCTAAAGTTTTTTTACGCCTTTATTGAAAAGTTTATTATGATTATGCTTTGGTATTATTATTTGTTTAAAAGTATGCGGGCTTATCACATAGAAGTTATGAGGGAGAAGTAGTTGTTCCCATATTATTTAATAATAACTCTTAAATTCGGTTTCGCGGTTTTCTTGCTGAATTTTTTTTCTGCTAATTAGTATCGCTAGCTGGTTGGCAAGGTAAATTTTTTGAACTATATATTGTTTATAAAAGAAACTCCATAACTGCACACACGCGCACTTCTGAAAAGGTTTTTAACGAAAAGCGATAAAACACATGTTGCAACAAATTTATTAATTCGGTACATATTTTAATTAGTTAATTCACCCGTTTAGAAAACCACGAGGCTCCTTAGTAATGGCTCCGCTTCAACAGAAAGCACTCCTGTTAAACGTAGCCATTCGGGTTCTGACTTTGCCAGTTCCACGTGTCCTTGCACATATCCTGTAAGCCTAGCTTAACCAAGGAAGTGGCGTGTAAGCTGCCATACGGTGTACTAAAAAATTCGGGGCTCAACCTTTTGAAGCGGACCAGCCCAACTCTTTCTTTGACTTTTCCGGGTCAGCGTAACACTCTGCCACGTCCCCTTTGCGGCGCTCCACAATTCTATAGGGGATTTTTTTTCCTGTTAACAGGTATATTATAAAGAAATGGTTGACATAAAAAAGGAATAAGTATAACCAGAAGCATCTTCAAAAGCGCGAACCATCTCCAGCACGGAATACCCGCGGCCGGTCCCGAGATTATATGCAACGCAGCCACACTTCTCCTGAATTTTTTTAAGGGAGCATACGTGGCCTAAAGCAAGGTCAACAACGTGGATATAATCGCGCACACCTGAAATAAAAAATGGGGAGTAATTCTTTATTTAGACATAAACTTATAATGTAAATGAAAGTTAATATATTAATTTGAGGTGTAATTGGAAAACCTGTTCCGTCTTTAGTGTCGTAATCCCCTCCGAAGATATTTAGGCATTCACGCCGACCTATCGCAGTCTAAAGAACATGAAAAATATTTGAAAAAAAAAAAAAGAGGCAAGATGTCAGGCAAAAAATAATATAAAGATTAAATACAAAAGCTGGTTAAAAGCGACAAATTTAAATAAGTTCTATAGTTGCTTATTAAAACTCCAAAGTATGGGTAAAGGGCCCCAGAAAAGTGCTACTATTGCCTTTGTACTATGCAGAAGGCAAAATAATTGGCAAAATAATTTATTTTAGAACTGTAAGACTTCTAATAAATTTACTAGTTATTAAGATTAATTCTTAAAATCTTATTTACTATTTGGATACCTGTTAGTATCGATCCAAGTTATAATTTAAAAAACGACCTGAGCTATAAAGGGCATTAAATTATTGGGCACATCGCTTGGATCTTCTCCAATAAGTCCGGAGCTGTGCGCACCAACAGGATTAAAATAACGTAAAATAACAATATTCCAGGAAGGATCACTACTATGAAGGTCTAAAGGTGTCGGAAAATTAATTAGACTATATATACCGGGGGGGAAAAAAGGAGAGAACCTCTTAACATTTCTTCAATAAACAACTTAGTCCGGCCGTAGGGATTAACGCACGACAAGGAATGATCCTCTTTCAAAGGAAGTGACTATAAAAAAATTTAATAGTTACTAAAGTTAGAAGTGAAGCAGTAGCTTTTAACCTTTGGCAGCCCATAGACAGTAGCTGAAGATGAAAACACAAAGTTTTTGCAGGCGTACTTCTCTAGTAACTCGAGGAGAACGGATGTCCCTGTGAGATTGTTGTAATAATACTTCAAAGGCTTGATAACGCTCTCCCCGACTGATTTTAACCCTATAACAAATATTATTTTGTAGTTATGGTACTACTATAAAAAAATTTTCTTCTTCTTAAAAGTGAAAAATTTGCACCTTGCAACCAATGTTTTGAGTATAAATATTGTCATTTTTTCATATATATGTTAATAATAACAATAAAAATTCACAAAAATTTTATTTGTGTATCACTATAAACTTACATTTATTGAGAAAATAAGAATATATTTAACCTGCAAAGTGGATGCAACTTGTAAACTGGTGCTTTTTGAAAACATCTTCTAAAGCCTCTTTTTCACAGAGATCAACTTCGTAAAAGTTAATTTTTTTTCCCGTAATTTCCTCAGCACGCTTTATCGATACTAAGATAGCTTATTTCTAATAGAGGAAACTATATGAAATAATGACAATACCCTTTTTAGAATTAACTAGGTTGTCTACGACGACTACTGCATATCCTAAACCTAAGAGTTCAACCACAGTATGAGCCCCGATATATCCTGCTCCTCCCGTTACTAATATTGTGTGGCCGTCACCCACAAGCGTCATGCTCAATAACGTCGGTTCTTAGCGTTGATTGCAACGTAAAAAGAAGATGACCAGGACTTTATGACAATACATCTCCGTAAGTAAAATTCTTTGATCTAAAATGCTTTCCTAATTAAGCCTTCTCCCTACTAACGTTGAAGTATTTATCTGGAAAGTTATACTCCTATCGATCCTTTTTCAATTCTTTAATCCGCTCCAGTTGGAGTAGTATTGCCCTCGCCGTAAAATTTTACAAAAGTATCACGAATTACTATTTAATAAGTATAGTTATGGAATTAGATTTCCCAATACTTTTGTACAATATAAGATTTTTTTCTAAAATGCTAAAAAGGGTCGTTAACATACGTAATGTAACGAATTAAACATTCTTTTTATTTCTTAACGCATTTGCATTCAAAGACATAAACGCTGTTAGCCATAACCTTTAACAGCAGAGTGCTTATATCATATACGAGCCACCGGCTAAGTTATAAACATTTGAACATAAGCTGAGCAATAATTTTTGCTTGTAGACTCTTATCATTAGCAAATATGGGTTAATAAAATAGTTTTCAATATTTAAAATTAGGAAAGGAAAAGAATTTATAAACTTTTTTAACCTAAAGAGAGACGCTTAAAATGCTCACTACATGTTACGAACTAAATAGTTGTTACTTTTATGAAGATGTAAGGGAGTGGTCCAACCCCCAAAAAGTATCATTTATAAATAATAAAAATAAATGTTTTTTTATAAATAAAGTGATGTAAGCAGAGCAAAAAGAATATCTTCCGAAAATTCTAAGAACAAAACAAAACGGAGGGCAAGGGGTCACACACCCGAACATAAAGAGAATAATCGAAACTCAAGCTCTTTTGTAGCCATTAAATGCATATATGGCGTGTTGTAGGCGGGAAATGGAGTATAAGTTGAAAATTTGTGCAAAATGGTTTTTATATTTTTGTTGTATGTTATCACTACTAGACACATTTAAACTCTGAGTTGCAAAAGAATTAAAAACTTTAACATTAATTACCGCAAAACTTTTGACGTACATCTTTTCCAGCGCATACGCCATATACACTTGGGCACAGGGGGCTTTCTAAACGGAGAAGGGGGAGGGAAGGGACGAATATTTAATGGTTATGCCCTCCTCCAATACTCTTTGACTCTAAGATTACAGGTCAGGCCTTATTTTTTTCGACGAATTAAAAAGCAATGGGCGTGTTGATGTTGCACTTCCCTTGATTTCAGGAACTCTTTATTTTAGGATTTGATACCTTAATTAATGATTTCCGCCCCCCACTTTTTAGTAATTTGGGAAATCTAACAGGTGAGGAGTTCAATGTTCTACGGTTCAAGTCGCCACCCCCTAAAAGAATTAATTATTACTAAATTTGGACATATGTTAAAACAATGAATTTTGAAATGAATATAATGGTATGAAGTGAATATGTAAATCATTTAATAGGGTAAGTGGAAGCGTTGGGGTTTAATATTTAATTTCTTGGAAAAAATTTATTAACACTTTGAAGAGCCTTATGTTTGCTAATAGCTTTGTAAGATAAAAACTTATCTCAAATTTATACGCAGAAAGATCGGTTATAAAGGTTTTCGCGTAAAATATTCTACTTTCTTGTGGTCAATAAAAATGGTATAATTTCCTTTAAGGATAGAAGAAAGTATCTCCAGATATAAGGAGCTTTAATAATTATTAGTAATTTTTTACAGGATATATGGTAGTTTAATGGGGAGTCTGTATACTGTTTCATATAATACTTGACGGAACGAAGACCGTCTTCTTAAACTTGTTTAAGGAAGCTTCTCTAGCGAAATTACTAGCATCAGTCTCAACCACAAATCTTAAGACCAGAATCAATAACGAAGTCTTGTTCTGTTTTCTCCACCAATTTATAGTCTTTCTTAAAAAGTCTACTTAAGGATTTACTCAGTTGGGAGTAGTCACGTATAAATTCTTCGAGAGGAATTTACAACACCCCCAAAAATTGTTAATATCCTTTATTATTATATATGCCCCGTTAATTAATACGATTCAACTTAGAGGACTCATTTTGGTATCCTTTTTATTTATAAAAAATCCTAGAATTCAAAATATTGTTAACAGCAATAAACATTTTTTTTCGAAACATCAGACTAGGTTTATTTAAAGTTTTAAACCACCTTATGTGTTTATCATGCTCTGCTACACCTTCATTGTAAGCCGCTGAGCCTTCCATGTCAACTAGAGTTGGAGTTAATTCTGATAAACCACGTAGTTACATAGATGACTGGTGTTTGTCTGTCTAGGTGACACGTGCGCTTTAGTACCTAGAGGGCGGTGGAAGGCGTACAGTTTAAAACTTAAGGCCAACATCCCAAAATCAGGATTTGTGGTTGTAGCTCATGACCAAGATCGTGGGCTCGATTTTTTCGGTCTTTGATGGTTGCGTATCAAACCTCGCCCTTATGAGTGCTAATGCATAGCCTCTCTTCATGGCTACTTGAAACCCTCACCCTTAGTTCTTAAGTGCCCAGCTTCACTTGTTTAATCAAAGCTACATTTTTAACCTTCAACTGTTATCCCTGGGTGAGATTATTAGAATTTAGGAGGGCAAGGTTAAATATGCGACCATCAAAAATCGAAAGAATCAAGCCCATGACCTTAAGCATGCGCCTCAACGCTCTTAAGCGCTCAGCTACGGCGACCACGCCCAACCCCGGCATGATGGTTTTAAGTATCTAACCTATTACAGACTGACCCAAATGAAGATCGGAAATATTAGAACCTTTGAAACGCTGTATATATAGTGTTATTAACGGCGATCATACATATATATTACTAATTGATAACACTATTTTTACAATATCGTTTCATATTACGAATAGATAGATTCTCTTTTGAGTCAAGTCGGTGAGGATTAAGAACGACATGCAAGAATATTTTAGAAGGCCAGAACAATTTGAATTCTGTTACCAAATTTGTCAAAGCTTTAATACTTAAATAAGAAAGATGGATTGTATTAAATTTTTTGTAAAAATAAGTGAATAAAATAGTAAATTAAGTAATATAAACAAAAATATAATGTTATAAAAATGAAAAGGAAAGAGAACACTATATATATTAGAAGAGAAAGAAAGTAAACTCCCCTTTATGCGACTTAGTTTACCCTATTTGTATGGGTAAGGCCAAATATCTCCAGGTTACTAGAATTTTAAAAAATTTCTTGAAAAATATATAAATTTGTATGGCAGTTACAAAATAGATAATGATTTATAAGAGTAATACAATAAAAAATGTGAGAGTTGGGCATTACTGACCGAGCTTAATACATGTATTTAAAGGGCTAATCAAAATTAGTAATGCTGATAGTTTAAGTAAACTAAAAAATAACTTTTTATAGTAATATTATCTCTCTATAAGGAGTTGGATTTATAAAGGTTTTCTACCACACTTTATAAATTGGCGGAGTTTCCGACCCCTCTACTCCTACTCTCTTTCTCAGCGCTTTGGACAGTCAGTATACTCTTTAGGAAGAATACTTAGATGCGCCTTCTCCAACTCCGCCTGGGTAGAGGAAGAAAGTATTAGTTGTGTAGGCCTTAAGAAATCTATGTAAAAGATTACTAGTCAAAGACCAGCTTACTATTAATAGTATTTTATCTTTTTATATATAGTGAATACTTCAAGTACTTATATGCATCGCATAGATTAACTTATATATATTTCTTACATAAAATGAAGCTATGATTTGCTCTCTATGCAGGCATTAAATATGACTTTGTATATTAAAAAACGATTTAGCATGCCTATTTTTGTAAAAACCCTTAACTTTATATGGGAGCCAGATAAAAAATTAAGCTAAATGGTTTTGGGTGGGAGACGAATTAAAACAGACTGAACGGTTGTTGACGGTTTCGTGTGTGCGTTGTATGATCTAATAGCTTTTCTAATTATGAAGTTATAAAGTCTAACGGAGGTATAAAATGAAAATTTTAAAATCAGTAGAACGAAAGGGTGGTCCCGTAAAGAATCCACCAGGTTGAAAGTTGCTCGTAACTAACGTTCTATTATTGACTATTTTTATTAATATAAATTAAAGGGTTTAAAACAGTTTATTTTGTGCGACATGGAGAGAGCACAGCTAATGTGCGTCAAGAGACCGACCCTTATGACAGGTTTATACTCTTATAAATATATAAATTGCAAGACAATCTACAAAAGTTTTTTTTTTTAGTATTGTCACTAGTTTAACTTATTATATTGCATAAGCGCTACCAACCCGGTATATCGAGATGCACCACTCACTGCATACGGAGTAAAGCAAGCTAAAGAATTAGATTCCATAACTAAAACTTGGAATATAGAGTTATTAGTGGCGTCTCCGTTAACGAGAGCCTTAATGACCGCTTCGTACGCCTTTCAAAACACAGTTAAGGTATATTCTTAACTTTTAAAGTATCCGTGATCTGCAATAAAATTTCTACTTCAGAATAATGTCCCTTTCATTGTGCTTCCTCTCGTAATGGAGTTTTATCCCAACTTAATTGAGAATCAAGGTAAACTAAAAGATGAGCTCAATAGAGATCCTAAACTGAACAGTCTGGAGCGTTTTAAAGGCAAGTTTTTTATGACAAAGGAAACCTAAAATAAACAAATATATATTCAGAATAATCAAGAATAAAACTATTCATTCTTGTAGATGTTGATTTAAGCCAATTATCGAGTGGTGAATGGTGGAATATTTGCGGAGACAGCAGTCGTCTCGACCAACTCACTACTTTTCTCCAAAAGCGTTCCGAAAAAATAATAGCCGTTGTGTCTCACTGGGGATACATCCATAATCTAATTCAGGCACTTTTCCTAATAACTTTAGTGCTTATACAGCAAATACCATTGATTACAGGAATGGGGCTATGGCTCGTATTCTTTAGCAAATTGCGAGTGGATACGGACTACGTGGGAATTTCATAAGGGGGCCATCCCAAAATTAAATTTAGGTGCAAACTCGCAGAACAAACGCTACTCCTTATTTCTGTTGCCGGGTTAGCAAGTATCTTTACTTCTATCAGATTTCCGTCACTAATCGGAATGCGCAACAGCTGGTAACCATAACAACAACGGATTGCTCTGCGAAATTTTATCTCTTTATAAAGAAATGCTCATCGAAGAAAAGTTATCAAAGTCGGAAACGTTAAAATTTGGCAGAATCTTTTACGTCCCTTTAACCAAATTTATTGCTCTTTCTGAAGGCATTCTCTCATTTTCTTTAATTATCCGAATTAACTATCGCCTTAAGGTACGATCAAAAAGTTAGCTACTGCTTTTAAAACTACTCGAGACAAGGCAGTCTCTCAAGGCAAAACAGAACAGTCCGCTCAAAAGTGCGATGACTTGAACAACCCGTTAGGAAAATTTCCAAAGGTTACTCTAGTGGACCCAAACCCTCAATTTTATAAATTGATAGGAACTGGTATGTAATAGCATTTAACATTTTAGGTAAGCATCTAACTAGCCTTATAGAAAAGGAATATCTCAGCATACGATTCCGCTCGAAATTTCTGCAAAGATTTTTGGTAGATGTCGCTCAATTTCTGACCAGGGGAAACCTTGCTGAAAAAGATGAGGAGCTTCAACGATTTCTAATTTTGCTTCGACAAACCACCGAAAAGGAATTTTACGAGGCCGAGATTGTCAACTACCAGGACGACGATGTCCACTCAGATACTTTCTACAAGCTCCTACAGCATCGGCCCGCCCTAAAAGGCCTCTCTCAGTACCGATCTCCCCGCCTTTTAACCGATTCACCGATCTTTTCCATGACTCAGGTGCGTTTAACGGCGGGCCCTACTACGCTTGGGACTATTTGTTCCGGATCTTGACCTTCCGGATATCCCTTGTGTCCTGCATGTACGTGCAAGACGAGTGTTGTCCAGAGACTTTTGCGGAGGAGTATCCCCACTCATTTCCACTTTTTTGAGAACTTTTTAATGCAATAAACGCCTTGAAGCACGCTCTACCAGGAACAGTAAAGAAAGCTTTTTCCCAAGCTACTGAAGACGGTGCACTTCAGCCTGTCTTTTACGCTGGTACTTTCACTTATAACGGCCGAAAGCTGACAAACGTCATCCCAAAGAAACTGAGAGACAGTCGAGTAGTCGTTTAGATGCAGCAATTGCCGGCTAACAGCGCTCTTTGTACAATTGAAGGGCGTACTGATTTGAAGAGCTTCACTCAGGCTACCAGCAAGTCTATTAGAATAAAAAGTTTTATAAGGGTGAAACGGTTTAAAGTAAATTCCGCAAGACTTTTCTAGCTGAAGGCAGCGCTTTCGGTCGTCCATCTCCAAAGACATAGAAAAACACTTCAACAGCAACTCCAAAAGAGCGGATACATCGCTTGAATTTTCTTCAAACCAACTGTCGCTTAGGTCCCGCTGAGAGTTGAGGAAGAGTATAAAACGCTCCACGCATCGCTGCAAAACCGCCACTGCTTTCCACTCCGCGTCCAAACGTGTATAAGCATTGGCCAAACGAAGAGAGGCCTGAATTTCTGTTGGCAAGTTTTTTGAAAGCGTGTAACCTTTATAATAGAGCAGAGTGTGTTGACGAATAACTTTAACAGGTTTATAACTGGAAAAAAAGGAAAAATACGTTCAGAAGTATACGCCAGTATAAGATAATTAATAACGGCCGCAGTTTTTGATGAATCTATTTTTAACGGCTCGTTTGGAGGGAGGCAGGAGTCTAAGTGCTCGCCTGAGAGTATAAAAGTAAAAATGATTGTAAAGGCACTGACAGTCAAAAGCTCCTACTAAGTTCTAGTAAGAACGGCAGAGTGCTGGAAAGAAGGCTTTCTATTGGTGATTTCGCTCTTTTTATTAAGGAATCCCACAAGGCAGAGCAGGCGGAAACCAACAAGTCTTGATCCATCACTTCCTTTTATATAACATAATATTTAACAACTCAACAAACTAAACAAAATATCAACCTCTTTAAGTTGGGAAATTTTTTCATAGGAAAAGTATCGTGTTAGAGTCAACAAATAATAGTTTTGAAAAGCTTCCAAGTCATAATTTTTAAATAAGTTGGCCAACAAATAGTATGACTCTTGTTTAAGATGCTGAAAGTGCTTTTGTCTAATAAAAAACGTAAATGATATTGTTAGATTTGAGATACCAAATAGACTCCTTACTATTTACAATTTGAGTGATAAAGTACTTAAATAAAGCGGGTTCCTGATCATATAGCTCCAACAAACGAAAAATACTTTGAGCGGACATACGATAAAAATCCAAGCTTTTAAATACTGTAAGTAGAAAAGTAAAAACTCTACTTTTATAAGATTGTGAAAGGGTTACTTTGAGCAGCTCTCCAAAATAACTTTATGGCCGCTTCTTTATTAATCTTCTCCTTTTTTTCCCCTTCTTTATAAGTCTGTGTGGCGCTTTTCAAGGATAGAGAAAAGGCAATTTCATCAGAAATTTCTAAAGTGTAAGGTGAATAAAGTGTAGGTGTATACTTCAAGTAAAAGTTTAAAATCCTATTAATGGATTTACCTTTTTCACCTTTACACCTTGGCAACCTTTCTGGTAGGAGTGCACAATTTTTATTACGTGAGTTCATAACTTACATAAATTTACTTTTGGTTAAAAAGTAATAGAAAAAATTATCAGAGGTTAAAAGACACTTATTCCTGACACATTACGCTCAGTTCAGAAGAACTCTCAGTGCTATCTGGAGCACCAAGGTGCTCACCTCTCCTCAGCGAACACCGCTTGGCTTAGATTGGTTGTTTTGTATTTCTTTAACTTACCTTTTTCTCGACAAAGTCGAAATTACCCCTTCAAAGTTACTCGTTCAACGGAAAATTATAGAGGATGGTCATACTAAACAATTAAAAACGTTTTTATAGGTTGCATAAATATTGTTTTTGTACACTATCAGTATAGGTTACAAGTCGACACTAGTTGGGAATAATATAGGTTTTAACCAAAAATATTTTATGTACCTCGCTTAAAGATTAGTTTTTACTAAAGAACGTTAAACCGTTAACCTTATAAATAACGTAATCTATGAAAAAATATATATTAGTAGTTTTTCATTAGATTAAAGGACGACCATATGAAAGTTAACAGAACTTTTAATAACGTATGGTTGCCCATAATCACCGCTAAAAAATTCTGATACTAACAAAAGAATTAAATATGCTATAGGTTCATGAGAAATACAATTTTTATTCTAACTCTATCTTTCGCTCTTTAGGGGCAGAGAAACGAAATTGAAAGCGTTTACTGGGACATAAGTTTAGGGTGCGTTTATTTCTCAATACGATAAAAAAAAGATAAATTTCACAGAATGTTTTTCAAAGGTATCAAGAGTATATAAAATATTTTTACCTAGACTCTAACCTAATTAAAGGCCCTGGTTCATATGTTAAAGCCTTTTTAAAAATAAATCGCAAGGGTATTATAAATCTCTCATTAGATAGGATAGGGAATTTTACATCACAGACTGAGCTTCCGGTAAAAATGCAGGAATATCTAGTGAAATGGAGACTTTTTGATTAGTAAGAGGATAATATATTATTGCTAGGGTACAATGAGACACACTAGCGAATTTGTTGTATGCGGTGCCCCTTCCAAAACAGTTAAAGTCCTATAGAAGATCCTGCAAAATCGTTTTCTTTTAATATGAATTCGAGGGAAATGGCGCTGCTACATTTCGCTGAAGTTCTCTTAGGAAGACAAGGTTAGACTTTTTTTACCACAGTCTACCTTTTAGCTGCAAATTAATATTATTATTTTCTACAACCCTTAACATGTTGAAATTGTACAATTTGCAAGTTATGTGGCCTCTTTTTTAGTATAAAACAACTGTTATTGAAAAACTTTTTACTATAATAAGTAACGATGCCCTAGATGACTACATGGCCTGAGGATGAATAATAATTGCATCCAACCTGACAAACTCTCTAAAATAATATTATTACGTGAGTAAACCCCGTGACATCACCATTTGGAAGGCATGACTAGTAATCTAAATTTTTAAACTTAAAAGTTGTTCTCCATAAAAGTTTTTAAAAAGAGTGATGAACTTTGAAAAAATTGCTTAGATAGATAGAGAAAGACTAATTAAAAAAGGAAAAAAAAAAAAAGCAACTAGGTTAACTATTTATGTATAAATATGTATTTTTTACTGCTCAATAAATAAACAAACTAAAAATGCTCAAGCTCTCAAAAAGGTTGGCAGTCTTTCTTTACTTTTCCACAAAAAGTATTAACTATTAAAGAGTATTAAGGGAGGATATTATACGCGCACCTTCCCACCAATCGTTAATAAGTCGGTCTTTTAGCGGACTTATTTACGACTAGTGAGCTCGGTTAGCAAATTAGTTAGAAAATGCTGTAGTCTGAATTAGGAAAAAGATGCTTAGAGACCTTATCTAGAGCTTACGATTTAAACATCATTCACAATACCACGAAAATGCGTCATGACGTGCAGAAGCTTGTATATTTACCGCACATAAAGCGAGAAAGCTATAGTTAGAGAACTATAAGCCCATGAAAAGGGGCGTGTTGTGCTTAACCGAACGCATAGTATACCCAATCTCCCCCCACGTGTAGATGTTACGATTGTTTATTATTTATGATGATTCTTGAGTATGTGGGACAGCACAAGTTTAGCTGGTCGTTGAAGTTCAGACCAAAGTGTGTAATGGGCCTTCTGATAAAAAAATAGTCTTGCACTTCTCTGTGTCATAGTAACTTCTCCTTCCCCATTGGCGGTATCAATCAGCAAGCGCGTATAGACACCACTCAAGGAATTTTTCTACGAGCTAATCGTAGTATTATCTGCGTATAGAATACCTGTGAGAGAGAGGACCCTTGTATAACTCCGCCTCTAGTAGCCTTCGAGCATACGTATTTAAGCACATAAATGATTATAAGGGAGTCTAAGGCGCGCAGTTTGTAAAGCAAGTCCTGATGCTAAACTCCATCAAAGTTTTCTTAACATTAAAAAGATGGCGCCTGTCGCCTTCTTAAAATTAAAGGTATGGGCCCTTCATTTTGTCAGACGAAGCTGTTGTGCGCTAAATATTTTTTGCCGACAGCTAACAAATACCTTAGAGCCTTTACTTTATAAGGTCTCAGTATCTTCGGCAGCATCGCCCCAATCACCGCCTCTTAATGTATAAAAGCTATCAAGACAGCGTATATAATCCATCGCCACCTACGACACATCCCTCAGCATCGCATTGATGATCTGACGAGACCGGCATCTCGCCTGAATAGATAGTTGACAGCCTTTCAAACTCGAAGACTATGGCAGTATAAAATTGCTCGTTAATAACATGGTAGAAGAAGATGGTTTAAGAAATGCTTCATTATTAGTTGAGAAGGCAAAATAACTCTCCCTGAACAGCGAGATTATTAGCAAATATGCGGGTTGTCTCTATCTCTCTCGGCAAAGAAGTCTGGGAAATGATTTTGTTTCATAAAATATTTATAAATAAATGATGCGCTTTACTCAAGTAATGGAAGAAGTTTATCACGATGGCAATTTTGTATAACTTCGTCAATAAAACCCTCGTGGGGGTGGTTGAAGGATAAAATATTCGAGGGCACAAAAAAATTACTATATAAACATAAATAAAGAATGCTGTGCAAGCCACTCTAATTTATTAATTAATACGCTTGTTGTTGGTGAGAGTTGCGTTGGGAGAGAGAGCATCGGCGAAAAGCATCTCATCCCGTTCCTATTTAAAAAATCATATCTCCAGGAGCCTGGTTAGTGCTGCGATGGAGGACCAAGGAGGCTACTACGTACTGCGCTCTTCTCCCCTTGAGAATCCAGATATGCAAAATCCGAATGGCGAGAAAAGATATATGCTATTACTCCTGTCCGAAAGCTCGAGTATTCGAAGTTCTTAACTCGATCGAGCACCAGAGGAAAAAACCTCCGAGAAATAAATGAGCGTTGTGCAATTCGGATGGCTTATTGTTCTTTGCAGCGTATTGTTTTTGTGTTGTTGTTTAACAATATTATTTTTAGTATTGGGGAGCTCCAAAATTTATTTAAAAAAGTAATGAAAGCTTTAAAATCTGCCTTTTCCTTTTTGAAAAATATTTCAAAATATAGGTGTTACATAATAAGGCAACGTTGTGAGTGAGATATGTACAAAAGTTACTTAAAGGACTTCGAGAAGAAAACATTAACTACTTTTTTTACAGTAGTTTTAACTAGTTAAAGGATTACATTAAAACATCTCAAACAGTAAGAAAAGATACAAGGATATAAGAAAGATTTGAAACACCCTTTCAAGTGGTTTTAAACGAAGCTTAATCCTTCCTTAATGTGCTCTAAGATAAAGGCACTATTATTATTGACGGGTATTTTAAAAATAATTTTCTCAGTTTTTTGATACAAGTTTTCTACCTGTATCACGGAAATAGGGACTTTTACCCTAAAGCGAAAAGTCTGTGCTATTTCTACTCGACGACTCTAACGAAGGGTTAAGAATAAAAAGTGCACTCAAAGATAGTTTATCTTAATTACCGTACGCGTTTATTGTAAAAATGCGGAGCAAGTTAGCTATGCCTAGCGTGCTTTAAGAAAGTGTGCACCTTTGTAGATGTACATTTTCGGGAGTGTGTAATCCACGCTAGCCTGCATATGCAATAGAAAGGGGGTGCGAATTCAACCAATATATTTTATATCGCTCTTATTTTTTAAAATTACATCTTTGTGGCCCGCGCTAAGGTTTACTTGTATACCACGCGTTTGAGAACCAAAACTAATTTCATTGAAAACTTTCTGTCATCAAAAAGTGGTCTTAATTGAATGTATATATTAATAAAACCAGTTATGATTATAGACTTCACGTGGTCGCAATGTTAGTTGCAGGTTTGTTAACCTTTTTAAGGAGTTAAGAGATTCGAAAGTTATAGCGTACAGTTAGCTTACTTGCTCCTCTCCGTACATGCAAGGTAGGTTATACAAATATATATACGCTTTAAAGTGGTGACATGCACAAAGTCATCATGTAACTAACTTATAAATATATTGTTGTGATTTTGTCAAAAATAAATTAATAAACAGATTCTGCTATCAAACAACCTTTTAATTTTTCATCAAATGCTTTTTAAAAAGATTTACAAAAAATTATTAAACATAGTTGAATAATAAAGCAAGTAGCAAGGCACAAACACTTTCATGAACTTAGTGGTCTGAAAGTGGAAACTAATTAAACTTTTACAAGAAGGTGCAGCACTAATTAGTTTTATTTGCCCTTCTAAAGAAGAGCATAATTATGAATTCTATTTAAGAGCCGAAAAAAATTCAAGTAAAATTTTCGTAAAAATTTTGTTTATATTAGATACACCAGTTTTCCTTAATAACTCTTACCGCTTCTTTAGCATCTGCTCTTTTCTGAGGGTTAACCACCAAAAGCCTTTTTAAAAGTTTTATAGTAGACAGTGAAAATTCTTCCGCGGGAAAGGCCACTTTCGGATTATTAAAAAATTCCCTATAAGATGCGCAATCTACTCTTGCAATACTCCAAGGAAACTCTTTAAAAGAGTTTTGATTTAACAATCGCCAAGTGAGAACGCCTAATGCCCACGAGTCCAATTTTATAAGGTCCTTTTTTTAAAAAAAAATTAAAAAATTGGGGGGAGGGGGAAAGTAAGTAGAAAACTTCGTTTGTTAAATAAACGTTCAAGTGTGCTTCAGGAGCCAAGTACTCCGTTGTACCAATGGAACTTAAACTTTCAGGGGGTATGATCTCTCCCAAAAATGCGGAAGAGCCGAAGTCTATAAGTCTCACGGATGTAAAACCGTTGCAGAGTGTTATATTTTCCAACTGCAATGAGTTAATACCTTTATTTGCAGTATTGCGTTATTAGGTAAAAAACCTTTACATCCAAATGAGCGATGTTAATTTTGTGTAGTTTACTGAGAATTTTTGCAATCCGATATATATATGATACAATTCTAACCACAAAAGCTTTTAAACACCTTAAGACAAAGTAAGACGTAAAAACCTTTGTTCAGAAACGTGAGGATTCCTTTGCAAGTACTCAAATAGGTCCCCTCCTCTAATATATTTGGTAAGCAGGTAAACTAAAAAAGTTAAACAGTAAAAGCAAGGCATTAAAGATAAAACAGAGAGACGAATAACAACTTTGAGTTTCTGTGCCCCCCTGCGACTTTACTACATTTCCATTAATAAGCCTAAATAATAAGTGTAATGCTTTCATACAGGGTTGCACAAGTGCTGTTATATAATAATCCTTTACCCAACACACTTGACCACGCCCTTAACGGTACTTGCACACTTGTGTATCTGGTATTCCCTTAGCCCTATAAGCAGATGTTATATGGCCAAGGTTAAAACAAAAGTTTATTACCTTTTCTGATTTGTCCATTTCTAAATCTCTTTCCAATAAAATGTTTAGAATCACTCTCCCTTTTAAGTAAGAAGACTGCACGGTCACGTTCCTCACCTCCTTCAATTATCCTATTAGTTAATAAGTTGTAAAATAGCTTCTAGCTAAATTTTATTTGTCTACCTCTTGATACAATATAGCTCGCACCGGTCTGAATTAGCACGCGCCTACATAGGAATTTATAAAATTTTAAATATAGTTAAAAGTGCTTGTCTTCTCTTTTAAGAATAACTATTAATAGTTTATTACGAGAAGTAGATTAGTTTTTGTCTTAAAAATTATGTTTAAATGCTAATTAATCCTAGGTTTTAGATTTCAACTCTTCTAATTCAGGCTTGTTTTTTGTTAAGTGTCTGCATGGCGCATAAATAAAGAACGAGGGGTGATTAATTTTCTAGTCTGCAAAATTTTAAGCTCTAGGAATGAATGTCAAAGTATTTTATTACATTTTTATTTGAGTAGCTAATTCTGCTCTGCACACTTGAGTTTAAGATATCTGATAACTTTTGAGGGTAAAATATCTTTAAAGGCTGAAAATTTTGGTCACTACTGTTAAACAGAACAACAGTCGTCATGCTCTTTTAGTTCGCAATATTCTGGTTAGCTTGATTAAACTAATAGTTTTATTAGTGTTTACTTTACCTTAAAGTATATATATATTTTTTGTTAGAAAGCGATTAATAAATCATTGCGCGGAAAATTTTGGCGGGTAATTACCTTTTTCTACGAACTGGCTTATTGTTGGGTTACTAAATTAAGTTTAAAAATTTTAAAAAAAAATATTTATTGCTACACTGCACTGTTTCTCAGAATATTTATATGTAAAATGAAGTAAAAGTTTAGACGCATTGAGGTTTTGCGAAATGAAAAATAGTAAAATACTAATAAAGAAAAAGTTAGCTCATTGATTATTAAATTACTTTGTACCTCTACAGTTAGGCACGTTAACCAAGCTTAAATCTTTAAAATTATTTTTCGTGTATTTTTTAAAGATCTTTCTGTAAAAATAAATTACACAATTACGCATGTTTTTAATATTATATTTTAAAAAAAAAAAATTATTGCTTTAGATAATAAATAAACACTTTAAGAAAAGAACAAAATAGTTAATGTAATAAAGATAACTGCTGGTTTCAATAAAATTTTTATCACATAAAAACTGTGAAACTTTAAACTGAGCTATCTACGACTATATAATTTAACGGTAGAACAGCTTGTCTGTGCAGAGACCGTTATATATACTTACTATATAAAGCAAAGGCTATGCAACGAAAGGCATCAACAACGGATTGAATTTTCCAAACCTTTCGACTTTATTATTATAAGAATACGCTTTAAATATACAAAATTATGACCAATTAGATGCTTGAGCTCATTCTTTTCTTGTAAAACTTTTAAGTCAAACTACTAAGATCTTATCAACAATAACACTGGACCCCAGGTTTGTAATGCGCTAATATAGGGGGGCTTAGTTTAACTAGGGTAAATGAAATGGCCATGAATTATGTTATCTTACCAAAAACTCCTCTCTCAAAAGGTTTACCTTTGTCCTTTTCCGCAATCTAAATAAGAAGCTTAGAATTAGACGATTACAGTTTTTTTTTTTAGTACTCTTAAGAATTCCTATTATCCTTGATCAAAACTGACACTTTTACCTTTCAAATTAAACCTCTTAGAAACTATAAAAAACTTTCAATGTAAAATTACTAACCGAGTTGTGCTAACTTTTAACAAGATTCTCCACATAAGCCAGTAAAAAGGGTTGTACACAACGTGAAGCAACTAATAAAAAAGAAAGTAAGCGTGGATCCTTTAAAATTGCAGGTACCTTTAACTTATAAAATTAAAGAGGTACATATAGGATGTAGAAGAGCTGCGCACCAAAGGAGTTACCTATTTTTGTAAACTCAATCTAAAATCTATGTTCTCCTTTTAAACTGCGGGTGCGAGATAAGGGATTAACTTTATTAAATTTGATTACAGAGGGGGGCCTCTCAAAGGGAGGGCACCAATGTACTTTAGAGGAATACGCCTGATAGCTACATTTGAAAACTTTTATTGGAAATAGGTAGTTTTTTTAAAACTACTAGGGGAGTTACTTTTAAACAATATTATTACAGAGAAAAGTCGAGAAACTCAATCATGTGCAAGTACATAATTTTGGATGGGTTTCACGAAAATTTTTATGCCTCCCAGGAGGTAGACTAAATGGAAAAGTCACCGTGTCGGGATTGAGAGCTGACGTTGGTAGCTCGGTGGTAAACTTAGAGAACTCTATAATAGATAATGGGGAATGGACATGAAACCAGCCTCCAAATAGGTTATAAATGGAATTTTGAAGGCCTATATTATTTTGAAATTGAACTCTCCCTGGTGCATGTTAGATCTCTTGGCGGGCATAGATTTGAACATTCCCTAACCAAAATTTCATGCTCGTCCTACATGGCTATGATAGCTTAAAAACAAGCGAAGTGGAGAAATAGTGCAAATTGTTTTAAACATTGTTTTGCTTAAATTGTCTTTCAGTGGGAAAGACAGCGACTCTTTCAGATTTAACCTAGAGTTCTGGTTTATATTAATTGCAGAACTGGTTTAAAGGCGGCAGCTTAACTCTCATACAATGGCCCTTACGTTGCAGATGAGTGTTAAAAAAAAAAAGGGTTTGTGTAAACAATCTACTAGGAGAATTACATATTTATGTCAAACATGAGATAATCTTGTCTTTTTTTTTTGCAAACTTAATCTCCTTTCTCGTGAATTTTCACAGTTAACTTTTCGTTAGTGTGCTGGAAGATGAAGACATTATTATTATAGCTGGGTATTTTGCAAATAATTTTCTCAGTTTTAAGAAATAAGTTTTCAATCTGTACCCAGGAAGTAGGGTCTTTTACAATTAAAGTTACAACACTTTCAAATAATTCACCCCATTTTATCAGGGACGGCGTCAGGTATCTCATAACATTAACGAAGGATTAAAGCTGTCAAGTAACAGTAACACGGGAGGAACAGTTTTACTGGGTTGTCCCTATCCTTAACCTTACCTTGACACGCGACCAATTAAAGTCCGTGGGAGAGAAACGCAGCAATGGGAAACGAATCACAACCTAGAGTATACGCGACAATTCGCTTAACCGCTAAAGATAAAGAATGAAATAAAAATTTTAAAGATATATGAAAAAGACTTTTTTATGTCATGCTTTATAATATGTTTTAATCCTGTTACACTTCTTTTTCACTTTAAGAGCTGTTTACTTTTGGTCAGCTCTTTAATTACGGATAATAATAAAATCTTCACTATACCAGAGTCTTAGGTACTGTCCGATTGATGAGGGAGTATTGTTTTACAGTCTTTGGGGGGCATTACGAGTAAAAATCATTTAATGTACCTTGAAGTTAAACTTTGAGATGTGTGCGTTTTGGTCCTTAGTCTGGTATAACCAACAGGTTTTAATAATAACCAGCAGTTACACTCTTGTGCTCCATAAAGCTCATAGTAAGCAACAAACAATGAAGTTTTAGAGAGTTTAAAAAGATTAGACACCTACAGTGATATGCCCTATCCCCACTACATAAAAAAGTCACTTTGGTTGGGAGTGAGTACTTTCTATTTGAATAATAAATTATCCACCCACCAACTTTTTACTAAGCAACTGTATAATCAAGTGAGGAGGGGGCCTATTCTTGAAATTTTTTCTAGGCAAGCGTAAACTTAACTAATTTAACCTGAGGTATCGGGGTAAGAAAGATTAGGAAAAGGGGGCGTAGAAAGCAAATGAAACCTTTTAAGTTAAACTTTTACTTATTATGAATCAGATATTTTTTTTAAAAAACTGAAGGAATAAATATTAAATTATTATTAGAATACATATATCAAATCTTTTATTAGTTTCATTATTAATTCGTTAAAACAGCAATACAATCCGCAATTAGTAATAATAAGCATTATAATTATCTCTCGATGTTAGAGAAATTAGCCCTTTGTCCTCCCATCTTTTTCGTAGTTCTTAAAATACCACTTAGAGCTCGTGTGTTGTATTTTTTAAAGTAGTTTTGGTTACCGCGTTAAGTTTATTTTAAGAACTCTATTACGAAAATTTAGGATATACACTTAAGTACTTGTAGACAACTTTGGAAACTAGATATAATGAGCGCAAAGCCAAATACAAGTGCGAATGCAGTAAGAAGTTAGTATTACTATTGTGGCATATTTAAAACTAGTTTTATCTGCAAGAGTTCTTCCACTACGACTCTTGAGCGCATTCAAGGGGACAAATGTGCAGAAAGTTACGTGATAGTTTTAAGAGATAAAGAAAAAGATGATGCACAGCGTAAAGTTCATTGGGTACTACATTTTAGTAATTGCAATTATAATTTAGTTTCTGGAGCTGAAGTCAAGACTATTATTACATTTCATATATAGGCAGAAGACACCGTTGATAACGAAAACTTAAATAAAAAGAAATCCAAATCTTGCTGCATCTTCAGTAAGCAAAAGTCCTTTGACCAAAGCGGTAGCGATTCTGGCAGCGACAGCGAAGGTAACTTTAAAAGCAATTTTTTACTTAAAATAACAACTATTCTTTTTGTCACCTAGATGAAGTTAAGGAAGTAGAAGAATTTCTTTATAATGCTTATGATGGAAAGCCTAAAACCATCCACAGCCACAACTTTAAATTATAAGCGAAAGTTAATGCGGTCTCCAGCAGTTATAATTTACTTTTTTGCAACTTTCTTTGAACTCTCTGTCTAAATTTAACTAAAAAGCAAAATTTTCTTTGCGTTGGAAGAAACTAATAAAATACTTTTTATTACTATTTACCTCCCCACTTGTTTCTGCGTAGGAAAGTGACGTTGTATACCCTTATCTTTAATTCTTTTTATTGAATTTTTCTTATTATGAAAGTGAATTAAGTACATCACACATCAACTCAAACGACAAAGTAGTGAGAGTTCAGAATTTTTTTAAAAAAAATTTTCAAAAAGAATTGTTTTGTAGGTTTTCAATTGTTTCAACTTTTTCGGCCCTCTCAAACTCCACTGTGCGGTCGTCACTATCTATATTCTGACTTCTTTGCTCCTTTTCTTCATCGGTGTTATTTTCATAGTCTTCCTCCTCATCTTCCTCGCCTTCAATTTCTTCACTATCCCCTTCTCTACTTAAAATAGATGCGTCAACTTTGACCTTCTTTTTGCTTGTTTGAGATTCCCGATACACTTAAATTTTTATAAATTATACTTTACTTAAAAAAATAATAACTCATATTTATACGTTTCAAGCTTTCCTCAAGGACTTCGTTAAAATCATCAAATTCCATTCTTTTCAAAGCTTGAAGCACGTCCTCAGCAGAAACCGTTTTTCTTTTTCTTTCAAAGGCAATCTCTGCGGCTCTAAATGGTAATATGGAAGATCAAAAAGAAGAGCTATCTTTTAGAAGAATAGAGATTTAAAGAGAGTTGACGAAAAAAACGCGCGTCAATGAGAAAGTTACGCTGCTTTACGGCAAAAAGAACAATATATCTCAGAGTATTCTCTAAATTTTATTAAACATATCTGCTTATGTGTAATTTTATAAATGTTTGCTTCTTTTTACCATAAAATATGATTTACTTATTACCTTCTTGTTTAGCCACTAAGTATAAAAACGAAGTATTATTTGAATCTAGTACGAAAACGATGTAAAGTTTAGAATAAGTTGAGAGAGATGTCTTAACTAGAGACCAGAGGTTTATTTTAAAGCTTTGGTAGACTGAAGTTTTTGCAAAACAGCTATCGTTCAGTAGAGTCTAAGTTTGTTCAAGGTATTTAACTAAAACAGTGAGCAATAAATAGCTCAAAGTAAAAGGTCACTGATTTGTTAATCTTATGTTATTTTTTTCTCTGAATAAATTCAACAATATGGGATTGATGTACAGTTATATGAAAATAATCTTCTCAAGTTATCTTATAACGTCTACCACTATTGTAAATACAATAACAACAATGGTTGAGATGTACATGGAGGTAGCATAGAGTATGTAGTGGGTGGACGCCTTTAAAAGCGCAGCCTTTGCTTCTTTGGCGATATTTATATGCGATGGGACCTATACCGTTAAATATATTTTATAATAACGTAAAAAAACATTAAAACAGCTTATTGTAAAAAAACTTTATACAGCTTGCTTAGCAATCCTGTTTATTGCCGCAGCAGGTAGATCCTTATCCTCAAACATGTTTTAAAATTTCAAAAAAATTCAACCAAATAGACGAGGCTTAATTTTAAAAATATATATTTGGATACCTGCTATTAAGTTTTATATAAGGTTTAAAAACATTAATTTATTACTTGAGCATAAGGCTGATTTTAGAAGTAAATACATTCAACAAATAACTTTTAATAAGGAACTATTAAAGAACCTCTCCCAAGAAAGCTAATGATGTTGCATTAAACCCGTATTTGTTTATTTCCCCTTTCCTCCTCTCACCCCCCCTTATGTACAGAAAAAGTGACGTCCACTTTTAGAGGGCAGGGAGTGGTTTGTTAGGTTTCAAATTTAAGTGTGAAGCCTGTTATGTAACAAGGGTCTATAAAAACTTCGTCAACAAAATGGTTAGTGAGTCAACGAAGTAGTTTTCGTATAAAATAAACAGGTTCAACTTGTATACTATTTAAGCTATGAGAAAAGCCGTATAACCATAAAATTTTCTAAGGGTAAGGAAAGTAAACGACTATTGGGTTTTACTATATAAGAAGCTCCAGGGTTAAAATAGTAGGATCAGCAAATTCTGACTTCATATTACTCTGACCATGGCAGCAATTTTTTCAGACCCAAGGGTTAAACATTTTTTCCTTGGAACTATAAAGATGTCAGTCATTAATTTTAAGTTGCTGTCCTTTTAAATATTTTTTAAAATTATAAATATTAATAATGAAAGAAAAAGTTTTATATTATTATAACTAAAGTTTATATGAATTTCTAAAATTTTTTATAAATAATAAAAATATTTACAGTTTGTTGTTTATACCATTTATTATTATGCGTTTAATTTGACGGATTAAATACGCGACCTTCAAAGAGCCAACAGGAGGGTTGCGTCGAAGAACATCGAATTTACGACCTTGAGTTTACGCACCATTGCTCTTAAGCGCTGAGCTTAGACGGCATCTTTTTATTCTGGTGTAATTGCCTTTGGTTTTGCCTGTAAGTGATATAATGCTAGTGTATTTTCTTGATAACGCAACCAAGTAACGGCCATACGCTTAAAAATTAGCTAACATCTCTTGGTGTGCAGTAGTTAAAAAACACTTTTTCCTTTATTACATCTTCCACCCCTATTAAAATTTTTGGAAATGCCATGTGACGTAGTACGAAATTTATGTGGAAGACGAAGAGCCTTTAGTGACGCACAATATTTATACTAATAAGCTTTCAAGTCACATTTTATTACACATACCTACTTCCTCTAGCAAGCAAGTAACTTTAAACGGGTATACAAACGCCGAAGAAGGGCAATAAATTACTAACGTTCTTTAAATAAACAAGAAGCCAGAGACCTGACGGTTTAACCAACCACATGCTAGAAAATATATTTGAGATGGCCTTAAACATCACTTTCTTAATAACACCCTTTCGTTTTTTGCTATTTGTGTATATATGTATAATATATAAAAGTAGTCACCGTTGATTTCCTTCCATCTTAGATGGGCCATGATATATTATAGGTTCTATTTGTTATTTATAACTCTCACATGCGGTCTCATGCACTATTTAATTTGGTTTTGTTACGATGTTAAAGCAGCTGATAGGTTAGCAAATAATTTGATGGCGTTCCCCAGAAGTTTTAGTACAGACCTATACTGATGAATTCTTCTGCGGAAAGCATTTATTTAGATTGGAGTGGACAACAATGCGTTAGTAGTAACAATTTGCTAAGGGAAATGCCATGGAGATATATGTAAGTTAACCTATGTTAGAATTTCTTTTAAAAAGAAATGTTATGTAATATTGGGTAATATGGATCACTATTTTTAAAGCCTCTTTAACCATCGAACTTTTAACTATTAAATTATCTTACCAGTAAATTTTTATTAAAAACCTGTCGATTTCATTAAGGAACGGTATGTTAGCGATTTAAATTTAAAAACACATCAGAAAACATATTCATATGTCAAAATTCTTTGCCCTATTGGAATAAACTAATTGCAGTTTTTTGTTAATATAAATTTATTAGTAATTATGGCTTTGATTAATTTATCTACCAATCAAAAAGAACAAAAGCCAGTTAATTCAGATCAAGGACATTAGTAAATTGTACTCATTAATGAATTCACAGTTTAAAAAAATATTAATCAACTGTTTAATATACAAATTGGTATAGTAGAATAGTTAATAAAAACTTTTTTATTATAACCTATTTTAGCGCTTTCTTCGTCTCATGGTTGTTGTTTCTAAGCACTCGATATCTCATATCATATCGTTACTCCACAGAGCCTAAGCTAAGGTAAAAATCTGGCCTAATTATATCTACCTCCAATAATAGACCTTAGTTGTTAACTAAAAAAATCAGTGTTTCAAAAAAAAAGTAAAGAAAACCTGAGATACTTGCTTAAAGTATTAATATGCACGTGAGAGCCACCTTAAAGAGCCCATAGGGGGGTTTTCTTCAAACTAATTTGGTTTTTGTGTTCTAATATATCTGTCCCGGCTTTTTACATTTGAGAATTATAAACTTTATAATATTTACCAATGTGGCATGCTGCTAGAGCCCAAGAGAAAAAGCTTAGAGGTATGGTTGTTGATCATAAAAAAAGAGCGGAAAGAAAGAGAGCCTGGTTTTCTGCTCGTACTATGGATGCTTTTCAAATGATTCGCTGTCATGGTTCTAAAGTTAATTTAGAAATAAATCCTTTGCAACGTGAAATTGTTGAAAGTGGAAAAAATTTGTAAGTAAAAAAGGGTTTTTTCTACCAAAAAAGGATGAAAAATTTATTTTAATCTTTTTTAAATACTACTTTGAAGAGTGCCTTGGACAGGCAATAATGACATCTTTGTTGATCGCTTTGACGGAAGAGTTCATCTAGATTTTTTTAAAGAAAATAATGTTTCTAAGTATGTTGATGATCCTACTGGGGATAAGCAATACAATTTTGATAGATATCGCGACCTCGTAGCTGCTAAATATTATAATTGTAACTTTTTCATTTGTTGTTTTAAAAGTTTATTGGTTGTTAGTAACTCCTTTCTCTTACTTGATTCAGTGACTCCTCGCGCTCATTTGGAGAAGATTGAATTTGAACTTGACAACCCCACAGATTCTCTAAAATTAATAAGTTATGAGTTAAAAACTAAAAAGAAAAAGTCGGTTTTTAACAACTCACTTTTGTTTTCAGTACCCTTTATCGGTGTCCACTCTTTTTACGAGTTTATATATTATGGGTTATATTGCAAGAAGGAGGAGTTAGCTAGCTCAGTTGTTGCTTTTTAAATTATATAACTATTACCCGGATTTTTATTCATAATACTTATTAAAAGTTATAAAATATATAGTTACGAAAGCAAATCAAAAGTAAACACTTCTTCTCTAACTAGCAAAGTTGAGAATAAAGTAGGTCACTTATATATTTTACTACATCTTTTCATATTGTTGTTATAATTTAAGAGTAATATTGAAAAAGAATGTGAGATCTCAGCAAAAGAAGAGTCAATTGAGTCCCTTCGTGAGCGAGATTATCTCATATGTAACTACTATTTGTGAGAACAATAAGTTTATTTTGATTTAACGGCAATGTAGCCTTATTAGATGAGCTGGAAGACTTTAGTTTGGGGAATGTCGTTGCTTGGAATCGTCACGATCGAGCACAAATTAATAAGATCGGAGAACTTTTTGGTATAGAGGACTTTATCCGGCACGTTGAAGGCGAGTTAAGAGAAAAAGAGGAAGCAAAATTAAAAAACAACGCCGCCTCGCAATTTCAGTTTTACGATAGCAGTGATGTTTGTCATATAACAACGCAACACAATTATTACCTTTTTGAATATTTTATTTTACTCTTGCCCAGCTAAGAAGTCGGTTGCCCCGGAAAGAAAGAAGAAGGTTAAAGCGGAAAAAGAGTCCCACCCCGAGAAGGCGCGCCTGTTCACCTCTTAGGTTACCGCGCTTTTTGTTCTGTGCCTTCGCCGGTCGTTTTAGTCCTTTCTCCCCCAATCTTTATAGTTATGCGAAGCGAGCTTCACCCTCCTACAACCCTTACAAGAGGTAAATGCAAGGCTTACAATCTACTGTAGATCTCTCACTTGACTTTTGGTTTAGCGACGGCATAAGTGACACTACCACTGATTCAGAAGAGAACAGCACTGCCAAACAGGCTCGTGTGGAGTTTATAACCGAGATGACTGGAACTGCTCAGCCTGTAGAAAGCAGCCAGCCGTACTACCAGTATATCATTTTACCTATGTAGATATTCAGTAAAATAATTAAGTTTATATATTTCAAAGAGAAGTAGAGCCATACTTTAGGTAAATATTGATTTATCTCTGAAATTTGTTAGCCATTGTATTTTTCCATTACGCCTTTAAGAGTTACAGAAAAAAAAAGAGAAGTTGACTCTAGCCGGTCTTTAAGCATCCGGGAAAGGATGGCCCTAAAGCGCCAGCTGGCATTAGTCAAGCAATGTATTACTTGTCGATGCCTCGTGTCTTCCGTGTCACCCTTATTCATGGTGCTCAGTGAGGCAGGACCAAGCAAAACAGCAGGAAAAGATAGACCGCAAGGAGGATGAGATGAAACTAAGAAGAGACGGGCTTCGTGAGTTGGGCAGAAAAATTCAAGAACGGCGGTAAGTTTTTTCAGAAACAAGTCGAGGCCTCCTTTATCGGCGTGCTTTCTTGTGTTATTTGCTAGACGAAAGGAACAACGACGCTTAAGATCCGACTCGTTCTCGAGTTCGATGTCAAGGTCAAGGTCGAGATCACGCTCAAGATCGAAGGAAAGGCGCCAGTCGAGGGCAAGGTAGTCTTTTAGTCTTTATATTAACTAAACTCTTATTGAACTAGCAGAACACTTTATCGTTCACTTTCGAGGTCGTCACGATCACGATCACGATCACGATCACGATCACGGTCGCAGTCACGATTCAGGGGTAGAAAAAAGTCTAGACGGTCAAAGTCCAGGTCGCCGCACGCTTATTCGACCTATCAACGGAAATCCTGAAGTCAATACACATTTCGAAGCGTTATTGAAATTTGCATTATACAGCGATGCCGATGGGGTCGACCTTAACAAAGTTATGACTATTTTACAAAGCAATAAAGAATAGAAAGGGGTGCCTCCGTCTTTAACTCGACTAGTTATTTATTCAAGTAGATCAAACATAGGCTTTAGGAAAGTGGTGGGCTACCCTCAGAGCCTCATCATAATGCAGCACTGAAGGGCCGTGACCTCTAGCTATTGTGTCTGTCCCATTGCTTCTGCCCTCTATGCACGCGACCACCGCCTCTGCCCACAACTTTGCAGTGAACAAGTCTGGTTTGACTTTAAGAGGAGGGACGTAGGAGAGCAGAGTGACCTTTCGGCATATACAGTAGTGAAAATAGCGTTTATTAAAAAACCAAAGAAAACCTTTTCGGAGTCGCGGGATATTATCAAGAACGGGGCATCCGGGGTTCGTTTTTTGATTTCTTTTCCAGCTTCGTCAAGTGCCTTTTCATTTCTCCCGACATCCACTGGGCAAACGTAGAAGGGTTCTTTAAAAACCAAAAAACTTATTCTCTACGAGTTGATAAACTCGCCGAGCTTGTACCTTTGCCACTAAGCAGCGCCTTCACGGTAGACACAGCGAGATTGACTTGGGCTTTTTTTCTTTTGATATCCCACGCATCGAAGAAACCTTTGTATCTTTTTATCTCTTCTTTGGCTTCTAGAACCGTAAGAAGCGGAAAGGAAACTTCGCTAAGTTTTGAACTAAGAGCATTGAGATGGGTTCCGAGGGTCTCAACAGCGTACGTACTTAATGCGCTAATCATGGCTAAACAGTAATCATAAAGCAATGTCTCCTGTTAGGAAAACACCGAGGAAACTAAACACTGTAGTTCCTGGCCGTGCTCCATTGCTTCGCTCGCTCCAGAGTTGGTAGCACATGTAATTCTTCTAATACCGCTCATTAAGGGAGCATCTGCTAACACCACAAAGCTTTCAAGATCATTAGTATTGATGACGTGCCTTATGCAGAGGATATAATGATTATAGATATTATTTTTAAATAAAATCAACGAACGTTCCGCCGCAAAGTTCGACTGACGTGGAAAGCCAAAGATCACTTCTTACGTTTTCCAATATTTTGTTTCCTGGTATCCCGACGGAGACCACAGTGACCACTTCCGGGAAGTTTCCGCCAGTGCACCGGACGCCTTTTATTTCCTGGGCAGTGTGCCTTGGGACGGGTGTTCTATAGACTGGCTCCGACTTTTTGATAACAGCATTTACGGTTTCTTCAAGAGCAGCGACTTGCTGACGGGTGAGGCCGCCTTTGGCAGAATAGGAATAGTCAAACCGCAAATGGCTGGGCAGAACCAGTGAGCCTCACGTGAATAGGAAGGAGTAGAGAAACAATAAAAAAATTGAGTTGAGGTAAGAAACCTTTCTGGTCCACCTCCTTTGCAACACACTTTCTCAAAGCAAAGTTGAGCAAGTGAGTGGCCGTGTGGTTGCACATGATTTGCACGCGGTTTTGCTTGAAGAATAACGAAAGCTGGTTTTTCAGGACAGAACAAGCAAGCTTACTTCATTAACGTTAAGTAAGACGGTATTGCCGACTGCAAAGCGGCCAAACTCCACCGTGCCTACATGTGAAACGTACCCGCTATCATTCTTAAAGACAAGAGTGAGAATTGGAATAAAACGTTTAGCGGTTACGACGTTCTCACCACAACCCTCTCGACTTTGAAGATGGCCTCGTCGCCCAAAGATATTAAACCTGTGTCGTATATCTGGCCTCCTGAAGGGAAAACGCATAGAGTTAAAAGAAAGAACCGCATTAAAAAATTTAGAACTACCCCTCTCCGCGTAAAAGTTAGTGTCGCTAAGTATAATCATAACGTTTGTCGAGCCCTCCACGGCTTCTTTCACAAACTGATTATCCAAGCGTATGGCCTTTATTACTGAGTTGACAGCAGGAAATACTAAGGAAACCGATCAGTATGCAAGCATAAAAGGAGTTTCATTAACAGCCCTCTACCATATGCGCCAAAAGAGTTTTTGTAAAAGGAGTACTTATGCTCGTCATTAGTTGCAGAGATACCCAAATTTTTTAAATGACTAATAGCAAACTGGTCGAGACGTGTACCGGAAGCACCCGTTTCTGAAAGTGCTCAACAGTAAATACGGGCGGCACCAGCAATACGGTGTTTATAAACGCTACCGAGCTTCCTGCTAGCCTTCCTAAAATCATGGGCAACCTGCTCCAAGCCAGCCTCGTCCACCGCTAACGGACCAAAAAGAGGGTCTTTATAAGAACCAATAGACAAAAATTGTCTATTACTTAAGTTTCTTTCCTCACACATGATTCGCACAAGGTCTAGCGGGTAGCCGTAGGAGGAGTACAGCTCCCACACAATTTCACCTGGCCCGTATAAACCATTCAGGGCCGCCTCACTTGTGTCCGAGCAAATACAAACAAACCAGGTAGTGTGCTTCCAGTAAGTCGAGATACCGTCCTTTCAAATCGCTTCTTCCCTTTAGTTATAGTCTTTTGAAAAATAAGTTCTTCTTCGTTTAACACAGAGATAATGAAATCTTGAGAATCATGAAGTTCTAGATAATGATTCCCCTAGGAACATTTTGTTATAAGGCATACGTAGAAGGGAAAAGAAAAGTACCATCACTTTGGCTACTACGGAAACAAGTGATGACAATAAAAATGGTTGAGGCTCACTCCTATGAGCGGAGATCTTGTCGTTAATGTAACGAAGGGCTCTTCTTATGATACGCCTGACAACATAACCACGTCCCTACGCACGAAGAAGAGTCTTCAATAAGCTCAAAAAAAGGAGCCGGATACTATGCTGTGCAGCAAATATTACTGCATTCCCCGGAAGAGCACCATCAGCTATTGCAACGGACACCGTCCGAACGTGATCAGCCACAACGCTTTGTGGATCATGCAGATATTTCTTTAGAGCAGTATTAACAAAACTTTTACCGGTAAGCAGTGTCAATGTTATCGACGTCTTCCCGACCAACTTTTCCGGAATACGCTCGACAGCCGGTTCTACTGTGGATGGCCTCGAAGAGGGGCAGGAAAAGATCAGTGTCATAATTCGAACTGCCAACATAATTAACAAAAGTAATATTAAGTAAAAGTAAAGAAAGACCGCTTCTTTTGGAGTATCGAAAGTAATCGCTCTAAGCCCATCCCGGTGTCTATATGGCTTTTAGGCAGCCTCTTAAGCTGACCTGAAAGCATCCTATTAACTAAAAAGTTCCAAATTGTTAATCTACACTACAACTGGTTATATATACCTATCATACTGTATAAACACAAGATTCCAAACTTCTATAACGTCTGGGTCGTCTTGATTGACTAAATCAGCTAATATTTTTTATTTAATTCTTTATAGCAAGAAAAAAGTGTAACGATAAAAAAGATAAACGTTTAACCTGCACAACGACCACCAACACGGTCAAAATGTAACTCTACACATGGCCCACAAGGGCCCGTTTTTCCCATCTCCCAAAAGTTGTCTTTTATCCCAAAGGGGATCACCTAATAAGATCCTTTACAAAAGGACAAATATTATACATATAAATAGTGTTATACTCGATGGTCTGGTAAAAATTTTAAAAGGATGTCTCGAGCTTCAAAATCGGGTTGCAAATCAGAATCCGCATAACCACCAAAATAGGTTGCGTATAGTTGTTCAAAAGGAAGCTTGTAAACATCAACTAACAATTCAAAAGCCCAAGAAATACATTCTTCCTTTAATAAATCAAAAAAAAGTTATATACAATGAAAAATACAAAATAGTAAACTTTCACTTTAAAATAGTCTCCAAAAGACCAGTTTCCCAGCATTTCAAAAAATGTATGATGGTAAGTATCTTTTCCAACATCGTCTAAATCATTATGCTTGCCCCCTGCTCTGATGCATTTCTGTGAATTCACAGCACGTCTTAGTTTAGCGAAGTGAGTGTCTTGCCCAACATTCCCTAAAAATATTGATTTAAACTGCAGATTTTGCCGTCATTAATAGCCAACGACATTATAAAATGGAGGGGGGAAAATAATAAAAGAAGTAGTTAGTCAGTGAAGTACTTGATTCATTCCCGCGTTAACAAATTGGAGAGTTGGATCTCCATGAGGGATTACTTTAGAAGATTTGACAAATTCATGAGCGTACTTAATGGAAAAAAAGTCAATGAAAGTTCGTCGAACGTTTTCCGAAGTCCAACCTATTTCAGGGGACATTACTTAATGTTTTTTAGTGAAAAAAAAAAAACTGTTGATAGTAAACTGCTCCGCGTGGATGGGAGGCCATTACTCTCCCAGCGTGGTGAAATTCTTGTGGACCCTTTGACGGACAAAATCTGGGGTTTAAAATGGATTTGTTTTACGAATACTGGTAACTAAATCTAACACTTTTTTGTTTTGTTGGTTGCTGCCTAATCCGTTAGGACATGGTTCTCAAACTTACCAGAGATTGTTTAAGAGACCGAGCCTGTCATTTAGGGTCAATTTCCATAGAGTTACTCTTGCAACTTGAACCTAGGCGACAAGCGCTAAGCATTGTAACCATTGCCTATAAGGGGTTAAGAACGTAATTGGTATGGTTAAATGAGAGCCCAGAGATATTATTTTGGTTTAATTTAGTTAAATATTGTCAGGGCTAGTCGAGGCCTATTTTATTTCAATTTTTTTTTTTGGCATCAACTTTCGGTTCTGTGCCTTCCTCCACCTTTTTCTAGTCATAGGTAGAATGGTACCATCTAAACCTCTCCACTTCTAACTGTTTAACTATTTGTGTTTCAAGGTCTGTCAATCATTCAGTTCATCTCTTAGAACAATTTAATTTAACAGTATTTTTAGTACCTAATAAATTAATAACAGCTTCTTAGCTAACTCGTTGGTTATTGATTTTTACTTAATTGAGAGATGAAAGAAATAACTTACTTACCAACTTTTGTGACATTATTGCAGTTTTAAACTAGAAGCTTGATCTGGCGCACGGTTGAGAACAAATGATCGTGATACTGGCAAAAACAACTCTCCCACTCCATAATGACATTGCCAACAGCATTTTTCCTCAAGTATTCATTATTCATGCAGCATACGTCTAACATTACCCTTTCCTAGGGTAAGACTCTTTATGGCTTACTATTAGTATCGTCTTAGCACCTGTTAAGGCTAGTGCACCCAATGCGTTAACGGTTGTGAAGTGTGCAGCTTTGAGGGCGCAATTACTATTACGTAATTCCTAAGCGCATACTATTTAAAAACACTTATTAAGGTTATGATTAATTTTGCAAGCAGTTTAAGTAACTTAAAAATCGGCAACGGTGATTGCTGATAAAGTGTGTTAGTATACCATATTCACTCTCTAACAAGTTTTTCATCCCTAATCAAGGGGTTATTTACTGCAATTATGTTAGTTTGAGCAGTATTATTGTAAATAGAATCTTCCACTGCTTTGATGCTACTATCATTATCATTACAGTTTCATTAAGAAATTCTTCTTAAACGAAAGAGTCGGCCCGCCCTCTCTGCTATTTTTTTAATAGTTAATATATGTATTGTAATCTCCTAATAATAATCATTACAATTTTGAGATGAATTAAATTAACCAGCATATATCAATAGCCTTTCTTTTAATAAACTTACGAAAATTTTAATTTGCTAGTACATTAAACTATTTTTTAAGTCTTAAACTTACAAACTAAGCAAAAATACTATTATAAGAAAAATTTCTACTTCTAAATATAATCTCTTTCACTCTTACTTGGAACATGCATATAATTTTTACATTAATAAATGCTTGGCTTTAACTTTCCATACCAAGAACCTATGGTAAACACAACGCAATCTAAAAAAAATTGAGAAAAATAATTTTTTGTAAAAATTATAAAAAGCCAACAGGCTGATTAATAAAAATTTTTCTTTTCTTTGCGCCTCTTGTTTTTGCCCTGTATCTCTTCAAGCTAGCTTGGGTCCTTACCTCATTGGTTAATAACGAAATTATACGTGTTAGCGGACTTTAACAAATCACATGCGAATACCACGCGGTCATATTGCCTTGCATTGTTCTCTGTCCTACATTTTTTAATACCAATATTTTACTCTTCCCTTCTCTTTGAAACGCTTAAATGATCGTTCCTCCTATTTTTTTCGTCAGGGCGTAAGCATTATTATCAGCCCTTTTACTACTATAGGGAAATGTACTTTTATAACTAATACTATCTTTTGAACAAGTAATATTTTTCGTAAAGTATTTAGCTGTAGTACCGCCCATTGGTGATATTTCTTTTTGCGCTCTATCCTGTGCTTTTATCTTTACATCCGAAATCATAGAAATAAACTTTACAACTAAGTGCCAAATAATTTTGGAAGTTTGCTGGCTATTGTCAAATAACTAATAGGAAGTGCAGTTATCCTTTTATAGGTTGCTACTACTTACAAGATGGCATTATGCTTTATCTCATTTACCATTTAAGTGATAGGTAATTTTGTCTTATTTTTCATGTTCCTAGATAGCAAAGGCGTTTCTCTTAAGTACTAGTATTTAAGTAAAGTGATTTATCCAAGAGAACCTTACGACTATTTCGCAACTAACACACAAAGCACATAAGATTTGTATATTTCTTTCGTAAAGATTCAGTAACTGCAATATATACTTTTTTCCCGTAATGAACTTGATTGAGAGGGGGATGCACTTTTATCGAGTCCTGTTAGAACCGACTGCCTTTATGTGAAAAAACCTAATTAAGATCTACCGTTTAGGTTGATTTTCACTTAGTTGCAAGACTTTAAAATATAGCTTTCCACCTCGAATGACGTAGCAAAAAAGAAAGAGAGAACTAATTTAGAGATAAGTAAAGTACAAACACGAAGAAACATGGGCTATATTACGTGAAGCAACTAGCGGACCATGCAGTTATAGCACAGGAATTAAATAAACGTGCTACTATCACATGATGTACTTCGGAGTTAGTTAAGTTAATTTAGTTAATTTAATGTCTGCCGGCGCTAAGATTTTCACTAGCCTTAGCTGACAAGACAAGTAGCAACTGATGCGCAAAGGGGGATTATTTAACATAGAGTTTTTTATTATAAAGTAATGAGAATAAAACGCATATCTACTTTATGTTTGTGTTTAAAAAACAGAGATTGCGATTTATACAAGTATATAATTTGGGAAACTCATGCCCCAAAGAAAAAAAAAAAGAGTGAACGTGTATCCTTATAACGGATTAAACGCACCCAACTGTGAGGGGTCCCCTTTCGGAATCGCGGTAACTTCGCCAAAAGTAGTGGTGCGCGGTCGGAAATTGCCTATTTGTTTGGCAACATTTTCCGCCGTCTCCTCGATTTTCTTCATAACAGTATTTTTTATAAAATTAATATAATTTACCATTTTTAATATTTTTAGTTCTACTACTATTTTAACAAAAGTTTTGTATGTAAGGTTTAACTATTTCTCTAGCAGTAAGATAAGCCCTTTTCTACCTTGCGAGCGTTAGCAAATTTTCATGGCACTCTAACCGTAATTTCTTGCAGAGTACTAGTTTAATAAATTTCCCCCTTTAGCTTATGAAAACTCTATTTAACTAAGAATTTAAGTGAATTCCTTGTGATGAATTAGGACACATTTAATTTAAATAATGCTAAATTTTTTTATTGCACAGCTACACAAGTATTAACCGATGTCACATACAGGCTTAGATTTTTCTCTACAAAAAAGAATTGTTGCTTTCATTCGATGAATTCCCGAAGTTATCATCTCCGCACTTTTTTCCCAGTTAGAGTGGACGGCTTATTAGATTTATTGAGGAATCAAATTAGGGTTCTGCTAGGTATCTGTTAATGTTATAGAGCCATAAATATTCAAGATGAAGCAGAGCACTAATGCAGTAGCCACGCTGATTAAGCAATGAGTGTGTGAATGACGGAGTGAGTAAAAATAATATAGGCCCAAGAGATAAAAAGACGCTTCATTGGGATCTTCGATCAAAATTTACTTTAGCTAACCTATAATATAATTACCTCTTAATACGATCGCGTGCCGCGGTAGGCCACGGTTATGTAGCATTAAAAAAAAAAAATTTAAAAAGCCTATCTCTTTTTTCTTATATTCAAATTAAATTTATAATTTTAATTTACATAAACAGTTTAAAAAGTCATTTAAGTATAATAAATTTCGCATAGCAAATGCAAACAGTAAATTTTAAATAAGCCAGAGTTTTATTGATTGTAAATTCTTTCTATAATGATGCCACTGTAACCTGTCGCATTTCGTCTATATTAATTATACAGTTGAGCGACATTTGACGGAACCGGAAAATTTTGCTCGAAAGCCATCTAAAAATATTTTCTGGGCGCGCAAAAACTCACGTTATGTAAGGCTACTTTTCCTAGCATATGGGAGCTTAACGATAGAAAAAAAATTAAGAAAAAAACCCGTTGGAAAAAGTTAAAGCAACTATCAAAAGAATGCTTCTCCTGCTATGAAAATGTTCATGTGCCCCTACCAATCATTTTTATTATACCCTATTATGTTAAATGCGACCAATGGATGATATTTTATAATTTGCGTTTTTAGAGCTTATCCAGCTATTTAAAGCTCCGAACTTAGGAGCTGATTCTGTTACTTTCATCGTATAAAGCGCCTACCGTATATTTTCTCTTTAAGTTACTTTTGCTTCTACCTCCTATCTCTAAGTTCTGTTGCTATTCTACGGTTCTTTCTTAAGTTCTATTTCGGCCGGTGCACAGCTTTATATAGTTGTGCATTACTCTTGCTCTTAAATCTTAGCTCTGTTAACTATTTTTGCTCTAAGTTAATTAGTTTACTTTTTTTTTTTGTAAGTTCACCTTGGGAGCTTATTATCTTTAGAGAACCCTACGATCTCCAAAATCGTAACCTGCCAGTGGACGTTTTTTACAATAGTATCTATAAAGAGCTTAAGCATTTGTACACCTGTAGTACTATTCCATATAAGGAAATTCTAGATATCTGCTAGTTAGGCGCGCCTACCTTTTATAATGCGAAATTTAAAAAAAATTAACTTGGCACTAACCCTTCCGTTAGCGTTACGCGCCTAGGTTACTCTAAGTACACCTATGAAGATTATAAACGCCAAAATTAAAATGTATAAAACATGAGAAAAACTTAATAAAATTGCATAATCCAGTACTTATAAAATAGATATTAACCAAAAGGTTTTTGAAAATATGCTATAGAAAACAAAATGGGGACGACAGTTGATAAGGCAAGATACTACGAAGCGCAAAGAAATTAATAAGTGTAATGTCTGCGGACTACCTGTTTACGTACATATGTAAGAATAAATTTAAAGATTGCTGAGGAGCAATAATTACAAAATAAGGAAGTATTACAAAAAGCTAATAGAAGGAAGATTAACCATGTAAACTTAACAGAACTTATTTATTAGGTTACGCGCACTTAAAATTTTAACAGCCCACTAACTACCTGTCGCGTTCATGAAGAATTTTTAATTTAAAATTTTTTTATAACTTGAATGACACTACGTTAACATTTGGATTTCTGTGTGAACTCATTGTTAATATTTAATTTTTTTTCCTTATGCTAATTTTAGATGCGGAATTTCGCTCCTTATAATTGGCATTTATCTGTTAAAAAGTGTTTTTATAATGTAACTCTGTAAAAGCTGCACTCCACTTTCCGTTGTTTTAAAGGGCATTATATGTCTGCTACAAAAGTTAACGAATCTGCAATTTATTAATGGCCCAAAAACAGAAAACAAATAGTCAAAACCCAAAAAAATTACCAAATTTGAAATTTATAGCTGCAAGTAAGGTTACAATATTAAAAAAAACGGGGAAACTGATAAGAGGAGTTATAAAAGCTTATTCGTTTAGGAAAAATTCGTAGGCCCTTCGGGCCTATAATGGAGTTGTTTAGGCAATTTTCTGGTTTTAATGTCATTAATCGCAGTTTTTTAGGCTACTTTTTGTAGTAAGTAAACCTTTTGACGTTAAAAAATATTAACCTCGGTAAACGTAGTAAATATATAAAAAGGTAAAGTATTACTTAAATAAATGCGGCTTGAAAAGAAGTATATTAAATAAATAGGTAGTAATTTATTTTTAAAAAATACTCAATTATGCACTTATTTCAATTTTTATAAGCTAATGACAATGACTTTAAATACGAAATAGATAATTTTTTTCGGAAATACTTAGTGCACCAAACTTTGCTTAAATTTCATACTCCGCATAGTACGCTGGTAAGATGGCATTTAATAATCTGGCAAATAAATTTTTCTACTGGGGTCACAAGCGAGGACAGTAAAACTTTACCCACATAAAACTTAGTTGACAAGAGCGTAGACTAATTTTTGTGCTCAAATAAATTAAGTTGATTTTTCTTCACTCAATGACTTTTCTGGAGAATGCAAAAAATGCCGCTGCTGCTGCTGCCGTAAAGGATTGTGTTACGGTTGTTTAAATAGCTTTTAAATATTAGTAATGTTAAATGGTTATTAATTTCTTTTATAGCCCTCTAGGTGTCTTATATAAAGTTTACATCTATTTTTAAACTTTATTATTTACAGAAAAATGTTAGAATTATAGGCATTGGAAGTGGTTCTACTGTTGTTTATGTAGTGAAAAATTTAGGTATTTGACTTAATTTGCAATGCCACTAGAATTTTTAACCAAAGCTATTATTGTAACTCAGCTATCAAAGTGAAAGAGGAGAATCTAGACCTAGTTTTCATCCCTTCTTCTTTTCAGTCCCAACAAGTACTCCTTGAAAGTGGGTTGAAATTAAGTACTTTAACCGAGACACCAATCCTTGACATTGTTTTTGACGGCGCTGACGAAATTGATTGCCACCTTGATTGCATTAAAGGAGGAGGAGGCTGCCTCACCCTTGAAAAAATTAATGCCTCTTGTTCAAAAAAACTGGTAATAATAGCCGACCATAGTAAGCTCTCATCTGTTCTCGGAGAAAAAGTAAGCTTATTATTTTAACGCTTTGATTTTTTTTGTAATAATTGTAAACTACTTAGTGGAAAAAGGGAATTCCACTCGAGATTATCCCAGTGGCTTACATCCCGATTTTAGCCAAGCTCAAAGAACTCGGAGGAAAGCCAGAACTTAGAATGGCCGTTGCCAAAGCGGGCCCCGTGGCAATGCATTTTGTTTCGTTGTCATAGTATAGTTATAATACCTTTTTTTCAAAAGGTTACTGATAATGGCAATTTTATTGTTGATGTAGACTTCGGGTTGATACATAATCCACAAGCGTTAAATCAAAAGTTAATTAACATACCCGGAGTGGTGGAAACTGGACTATTTTTGGGTATGGCTAAAAAGGCTTATATAGGATTGATAGACGGGACTGTTGAAATTATTAAATGCAACAGTTAAATCTAGAAGCTCTCTTTATGTAGTTTAAGTTTTATCAGTTAATTTTTTGGTTTTGTGGCCTTTTCAGCTTGACTTAAGTGGATTTTATGTTACTTTCATTGAGAAAAAAACTTTTAAAGTCATTAAGTTATATACATGCTTAATTGTGATATTGTGGGTCTTCGAGTGAACGTTTACTACTTTGTAAAAGAAGAAACCATCAAAATTTATTTTTTTGGTATGCCATGCTTTTCCCAAAAGTAAAGGAAAATGCAAGCAACGCTATAATAATATTACTTTTTTCAAAAGAATTTTCATGTAACATAATTTTTATAATTGGTACTTGTGATTCTGGGTTAATATTACGCTGCAGAGTATAGTCAAAATAACATCGTTCATACCTTTACTAATAGGCCGATTTCAACCTCTGCTACACAAGCCTTTATCTTTATCAATACTATTCACACTCTTACCCTTTTTTATGATTACCATCAAATCTATTAATAATATGTATTTATATGTGATTGTTCTGGACTATACCTACTTTTTTTTTTTGTAAACATGTATTGTGGTATTTTAAGAATATTGAAATAAGATAAGTAGGATTTGTAGTATAGCAAAATATTTTTCAACTAAATATTTATCTGAGAGATAAACACCCGTTTTTATTATGACATTCGCTTATTATACCTGGAAGAGGGATTGACGGATATAAAAGGGGCCAGTTATGAGTATAAAAAAAGGTTTCCTATCACTTTTCCCCCTGAAGGGGCCTATAAGGCCTGTGGCTCCAAAGCAAGAAGTCATAGAGGATTGTGTAGAGGGATTAAAAAAAAAAGTTCTCGGCTTACCTATAGAGGGGTCTACGAAGGCAAGTCAAGAGCAGCGGAACCCACCGTTGAGCATTTTAAGGGCGTCCTTTGAGGGCTTCAAAGCCCTTCTCCGCTAAGGTCTGGTGAACGACCGAACGTGTACCTAGAGGTTGTCCGAGTTTGAGGCTTTAGAGGAGGCTTCTCGGGCGTGATATGCAGCTGTCTTGGGCTCCACTTATCTTAATTTTTTTGAAAACTGTGCAACCAATATCTCAAAGAGCTTAATAAGAAGCTGCTACTGGTGCCACCCCTATTTACAACGGTATGTTGCGCCCTCAAAGGCTCAATCCTCACTAGTATAAAACTCCCAAAAAATTACCATGTACAAAAAGTATTTTTTTTATTTTTTCTAAAGTTAACTTTTTTAAACAAATCGACATAATAGGCAACCTATATATAGATAATTGTTCAATTTTGTGGTTGGCGTTGTAAACCCGGTCTGAGTTAACATATGGGGTCCCCTAAACTCGATAAGCGTTCTTCACTAATATATATATTGTTAATTTACACCTAAGTTATAAGGCACAGACAAATTTGCTTTAGTCACAAATAATGAATAACGATATAGTTAGCTTTATAACCTACTTTTTTCAGCTTGGACTAGGACGGAGCGGACGTAAAGTTTGAATGAAGTTTATTAAATTTGCTAGTACTTTAGTAGTTAGAGAGAACTTATTAAAAAGGTTGCAAAAATTCAATCGCCTGAGCATCAACCCTGGTACTTGTTATCTTACAGGACTATGCATAGGTTCTTCACCTTTTCTAAATAGAAAACTCATCATCCGAGGTTTATCAAAATTTCCAACTCAGAGCCCAGCGTTTCCGATAAGTCGCGTTTGAAGCAGTTCGCCATTCGAGCACAGCACTGTTTCCTGTTAAAAAATTAGAATCGACATGCCTGCCTTGCTTAAAGTGCTTGCTGTTACGATCTATATATCGTAATGTTTTATGAAGATAACAAAGAGCTGAACGGTGGCTATGGTTTAATTAAAGGTATAAATGTTATAAATAGGGAAGCAAACACTAAATAATAAAAGTCAATCTGAAGAAAGAAGGAAACAGTGTTTAGCAATAGACTAGGATTTAAAAACATAACTTAGAATTTTGCGGGTAAAACAAATAGAAGTTCGTAGGGGCTCTACTTCCGTGAAAGCGCAATACAGGGGCTTCCAGTAAACTTAATTTTATTTCAAAATGTGTCTAACATTTGTTACTAATGTAACTAACTTACAATGATAACTTTACGTAACTACCGAAAAAGTGTATACACACCGCGTGCGCTTAAGAAGGATGCTTTTTTTAGTAAAGATGCCATTTAATAAACGATGGCGAACTTTTGCGTTGATTATTATGTGTTTTATATTCTGTGAACATATACTATTAATACGTTCTGAATGTTTTGGTATATTTTATTTTTTGTTATTTCCAAATCTCTTGGGCGTAGTTCACTAGGATTAAATTAAGCGTTTGTTAGAAAAATGCGTTGAGTGATTTTTCAACTTACCCTGTGTTTACACCAGGGCTTGAAGTTGCTTTGGGGGCAGAATTAAAAGCCTACCATAAGTAGTTTAAATTTTAAAATAGAAGTTAGCCAAACTCCAAAGTATAAGTTCTGTCTACATTTTCTTAACAGTTAGCTTCAATTAGACAGGATCTTCTTTTGGTGAGCTGCGCACGCGTCTCCCACGTTTTTAGAAAGAGAATTTGCTATTATAAAAACTTGTCGGTTACAGACTTGCTAATTGCGTTAATTACGTTTGTACCACCATGCTATTAGCTATATATGTGAATTATACACAATTTAAATTATTAGTCAGGTCGCCACTCACAAACTTTAATTAGTTTATACACGCAAAAAGAACATAATACTTAGGGAAAAGACGATCTAAGTTGGTTTATATGTGACTGTTAAAAGCTCCATTCGCCCAGAGCATTTCTTGTGGATGGAGTGCAGTTTACAGGCGCAAAGCTAGGCTCTATTATCACGCACAGGAAGAGAGTAAGAAAAAATTAAGAGTTTAGGGTTCTACCGTTTGGCATCCTTTGCATGTGCTCTATATGCGTTTAACTCCTCAGTCTAAAAGAATTTATGTAAAAATTAAAGATAAATAGATAAAACAAAATATTAAGTTAGATAAAAAGTATGTCAAATAAAAAAATGTGTGATAACAAATAACAAATTAAAGCTTAAAGGCTTGATTATTGTAAAAGCTTCTTGGTATTAATACTGAAGAAACGAAATCGAAGTCTTTTCAAAATATTACGTAGTGTTTCCACTAATTAAAATCCTTATTTCGTTAATTAAATTAGTTATAAGATAAATTTAAAATTATTTTCTTGTTATAGACCCCATATAATTATATTATTAGTTGAAAGTTAAGTTTAACTTAAAAAATTTAATTAGTAATTTTTTCGCGTTTTTATTTTGATGGTTCTGTTGAATTATCAGCCTTGTTTAAGATTGTTGGTATGTGAAGTTACTGCGTAGTTGTCGCGCTAAATTTCAGTTTCAACGTGGTGATATGCTCTGTCTACGTGTCTTATTCATTTGTTAGATGAGTCTTAGTTAATAATGTTCCTGACTGCTTCATTGTCGATGTAAAATGTTATATTGGTTTTTCTTTAGTAAGTTTATTGATTGCTATTGTTTCAATGAAAGCATTACGAAGGTATGTTCCACCTTAGTGTATCGAGATATAAAAGTTGGCCAGGATTTATGGTGTTATGAGTTAGGCTCTTTTTACTAATATTAAATTTTTAATTAACATTCGTATTTCGTAAATATTTCACACTCGGAAGCGGAGTAGGGATTCAAATTTTACATTTCGGCTTGAGATGCATGTCTAATGTTCAGTGCTCGATAGGGGGGATGTTTTGCTGAGTAGTATATTAGCAAAAGTGTTATTTCTTTCTTTCTTTCAAAATAAAAAGTTAGTGGATTTTTTCGAAATTTTTTCCAGGTATAATGTAAAACTTACTTGCTCTTGGCCATTATATAAAAATTTTGCCATCTTTCTAATTTATACTCTGTCATTTTCGAATTTAGCTGTGTATCTTTTTTTTATCTAACATATCTACCAATAATATGTTGTGTTTAAATCTGTTATCGCTTATAACTTTTCCTTTATCAAAAAAGTTAGCGCTCCGATAATTGAGTCAAATTTTTTGTTTATCGTTTGGGTAAAATTAGACTTTACACCTTGTAAATTTTTGTTCTTAATGTAGTGAGGGTAAGCAGCCGTATCTGCACATTCCCGATATCAACGTGTTAACTCAAAATTGGTTGTGTGATTTTTTTGAAAAATTTTCGATTTTGTCGTGTTTCCTCTTTAAGCAAGCACTCTCTATATGTTCTTATTAAACACAAAGTGTGCATTGTTTGTTGATATGTGGACACCGTTTAGAACGTTCCTTCTTGCATCGCATGCACATTATTATGTATTTTCTTTTACTTAGTTTTTTTAGTATTTGCAAAAAGAACTTTAGCCTGTGATCTGGTTTATCTTCCTCTAAGGAGGTATCAAAGTTATATCTATTTTTTGATCAACGTAAGGTAGTCAATGCTTATTTCTAATCCTCTTCCTCTAAATTATTGCTGTAATGTTGTTCCTCTAATATATTATTCCGTGTGACCGTGTTTTGATTCAACCCCGACCTTAACCTGGCCTTCGTGGTTATGACGTATTACAATTTATGTTAGAATGGGATATAAAATAGATAAAACAAAATATAAAAAAGAAAGAAAATGTGTGATAACAAATAATAGAATAAAGCTTGAGGGCTTAATTTACTGCAAAAGCTTCGTGATGTTGAGGCCGAAAAAAAAGGATTTTATATCAGTCAAAATCAATTTCACCGCTAATCAAAATTCTTTTTCGTTAATTATACCTTAAAATTAACTTTGTAATTATTTCTTGTTACAGTATCAAGCCATTTTTTCCATTAGGGTTGTGTTATATAGACTCTTGACTCTAAAAGATTTAAGTTGCTGGTCTAAAAGGTAATTATAAAAGACAATGTTTAATTTAGATACTTAAAGGTTTATATAGATATCCGGTTTGCTAAAACCACAGTTGCAGTCTAAAGAAATTAGCTAATATATATTAATTAAATTTTAATAAAAAAAAATTGTATTTAGCCATATTTCGAGATTATTTAATCTTGGTACTTCCTCTTCCCATATCAATTAATCATAAGGAACTCTCTATCATCTTTAAAAAAAAATTGACTTTTTCACGTTGAAACCTTTCGATTACGGTGTAGTAACCTTATGAAACCTATTCAAAAAGACGCAGTTTTCTACTGTATAGTGTGAGCTTTCTGACAGTCTTATGTTTTATAACTGTTTTAAAAACTAACTCACTTACCAGAATGACTGCTAAAATTTTCTTAAATATTACAAGTATCCTATCCGCAAATTTATTGTATATTTAAGAGCAGACGGAGGTATATATATAATTACACGAAATATGGGTAATAAAAAATTATGAAAGGCGGCCCTGCCCTGATGGAATCATAAACAAAATGATAAAAATTTACCACCGGTTAGGGCAAGTTATCTAATCCGACTTGCAAACTCTGCAGTGTCACTGGGCTCCTTTCCAAGGCGTTAAAAAATGTCATTGTGTTGTTGATGCTAAGACCTTCGGTTGAGCTGATAGGGCGATTGTAATGGAATGCGATGTGGAGTCAAAATTCTATTTTAAATTAGGCTTAGCCAATCTACTACAACGCAGCCCTCTATTTGGCGTTCAGGCAAACTCTATTAAGAATTATACATAAGTAATATGTCCCCAAACAACGCAGACATTTAATTAATCAAGAAAACGCACAAAAAAATTATCTGAAAGTAAACCTATTAAGCACATTATAAACTAATTTTTTTTAGTAAAACAACGTAACAGTTTGGCAGGGGCTAGTTAGGGTCCCCACTCGCGTTGTCTGTCGAAATGACTGAGGCGCTTATACCGCGAAATTGAGATAAAAAGAGGTAGCGAGTTTATTGTTTTATTCTGAAACTGCACTTAGTAGACAAGGCACAGTTCATTCGTATAGTCATACATAAAGAATTAACCAA